GCACCTCCTCGCGGATGTGCATCGGCTGCCGCGGGGTAGCCTGTCTAGGATCCCGAGACTCCTCATCTGTTGAACTCTCACTATCCACTCATTCTCTCTCTTGGGGTGCAGCACCCTACGGAACGGGAATGCAACGCATGGACGATGGTAGGGGCTTCTCCAAAAAAAGCTCCACCCGCGCTTCCCCTCCTGCCCGCTCTCCAGGGTCAAACGCAGGGGGGGCTGCATACAGGGGCGGCCGGAGGGAGCCCGAAAATGCTGGCGGATGCCACCCCTGCCCCCTCAGGACCCCCAGCAGGGAACAAAATAAGGGAGCCCTTCTTATTTACCCCCCAAAAGGACCCGTCCGATGAAGTATGTACGGTGCTCCCTTCCGCCGGAGGAGCACTAGGTGTTGCTATTCTTTCACGATCCAACCGAACTTGCAGGGGGGCCACAAAAGGTTTCCCACCCTCTTCTTTCTCCTGTTCCACATTATTTTCATCCCCGATCGAGCCTCCTCCTTCGCCTTCCCTGACCCCTCCTTTAGATTGTTTTTTATCGGGAAAGTAGACTCAAGATTCTCCGGGGCCTCCAACTAGAATTTCCTAGCAATGAACTTGGTAAAACCAAGTACCACTGTCTTCAGTGGTTCAGGGACAGGCACGAAAGACCCTGGCAACTCTGCCAGGTTGGAGCATCTATAAGCAGAGTTGGATGCCATGGGCAGGCATTCACCTGGCATTCCTGGCAGTAAGGGATAAGGCAAGCACACACCCACAGCTTCAGCAGATGCATGTGCCCTTGAGCTTCCTCAGCAGCCTGTGGGTCAGCAGACTGCATGAAGTGGTGTGGACGCACACAGAACCTGCACCAGCAGCAGGAAGCCCCTGTAAACAGGGGAACCCACACGTCCAGAAAAGAGGATGTGTTCTTGTAAGCTGCACTTCCCACCGCAGGAGTGAGGGTAGGGTCAGGAGCTTCTGCAAGTGTGCGAATGATCACTTGTGGGGTCTGGAGTTCTGGGGGTGTAGTTGCAGGAAGCTGTTTAGAAACCCATAGCTGTTTATTAATGTGTCATTGATCCATTATATCACAGAATCACAGAATCTCTGAACTGTAGGGGTTGGAAGGGACCTTGAAAGATCACAGAATCACAGAATCACAGAATCACAGAATTTCTAGGTTGGAAGAGACCTCAAGATCATCGAGTCCAACCTCTAACCTAACACTAACAGTCCCCACTAAACCATATCCCTAAGCTCTACATCTAAACGTCTTTTGAAGACTTCCAGGGTTGGAAGATCATCAGGTCCAACCCCCCTGCCAAAGCAGGTTCCTCAGAGCAGGTTGCCCAGGTAGGCGTCCAGACAGGCCTTGAATATCTCCAGAGAAAGAGAATCCACAGCCTCCCTGTGTAGCCTGTTCCAATGCTCCATCACCCTCACCCTGAAGAAGTTCTTTCACATGTCAGTGCGGAACTTCCTGTGCTCTAACTTGCAGTCATTGCCCCTTGTCCTATCCCCACAAACCACTGAGAAGAGGTTGGCTGCATCCTTCCATCCCCCACACCTCAGATATTTATATACACTGAGGAGATCCCCTCTCAGTCTTCTCTTCTCCAGGCTGAACAGACCCAGGTCTCTCAGCCTTTCTTCATAAGGAACATGCTCCAGGCCCCATATCATCTTTGTGGCCCTCCGCTGGACTCTTTCCAGGAGATCCCTGTCTTTTTTTGTACTGGGGAGCCCTGAACTGGACACAGTACTCCAGGTGAGGCCTGACCAGGACAGAGTAGACGGGGAGGATCACCTCCCTTGACCTGCTGGCCACGCTCCTTTTAATGCACGCCAGGATCCCATTGGCCTTCTTGGCCACCAGGGCACAGTGCTGGCTCATGGTCAACCTGTCGTCCACCAGGACTCCCAGGTCCTTCTCCTCAGAGCTCCTCTCCAGCAGGTTGTCCCCCAGCCTGTACTGATACATGTGGTTGTTCCTTCCCAGGTGCAGGACTCTACACTTGCTCTTACTAAATCTCATTTGGTTTCTTCCTGCCCATCTCTCCAGCCTGTCCAGGTCTCGCTGAATGGCAGTACAGCCTTCTGGTGTGTCAGCCACTCCTCCCAGCTTTGTGTCATTGGCGTACTTGCAGAGGGCAGACACTATTCCCTCATCAAGGTCGTCGATGAAGATTTGAACGAGACCGGACCCAGCACTGACCCCTGGGGAACACCACTAGTCACAGGCCTCCAGCCAGACTCTGCTCCACCGATCACAACCCTCTGAGCTCGTCCAGTCAGCCAGTTCTCAACCCACCTTACTGTCCACTCATCTATCCCACAATTTCTCAGCTTTGCTAGTAGGATGTCATGGGAGACAGTATTGAAAGCCTTGCTAAAGCCACGGTAGATGACATCCACCGCTCTCCCCCCATCTACCCAGCTGGTGATGCCATCACAGAAGGCAATGAGGTTGGTCGAGCATGACTTCCCCTTGGTGAATCCATGCTGACTACTCCTCATAACCACCTTCTCTTCCAATTGCTTAGAGATGGCATCCAGAACAGGCTGTTCCAACACCTTTCCAGGGACAGAGGTGAGACTGACTGGCCTGTAGTTTCCCGGATCCTCCTTCCTGCCCTTCTTGAAGACCGGAGTGACACTGGCTATCCTCCAGTCTTCAGGCACCTCGCCCATTCTCCAGGACCTTTCCAAGATGCTAGAGAGCGGTTTGGCGATCACATCTGCCAGCTCCCTTAGCACACGCAGATGCATCCCATCGGGACCCATGGACTTGTCTGCGTTGAGCCCACTCAGACACACCCGAACCACTCTCACGTCCACCAGGGGGGAGCCCTCCATTTCCCAGACCCTTTGTCCTATTGCCAGGGGCAAGGAGTCCCGGGGGAGTGTCCCTGAAGCAAAGACTGAAGCAAAGAAAGCATTCAGTATCTCTGCCTTCTCAGTGCCCCCCATGACCAGGATACCCCCCTCATTCAGCAAGGGACCCACCTTATCCCTAGTCTTCCTCTTGCTGTTACATACTTGAAAAAGCCCTTCTTATTATCCTTTATCTCTTTTGCAAGCCTCATCTCTAGGTGGGCTTTAGCCTTCCTCGTCGCATCCCTGCAGGCCCTGACAACACATCTATACTCCTCCCAAGAGGACAGGCCCTTTTTCCACATTTCATAGACCCTCCTCTTCCTTTTGATCTCATTGATGAGCTCCTTCCTTATCCATGTGGGTTTCTTGCCCCCCTTCCCCGATTTCCTATTCCTTGGGATGCACCGATCCTGAGCATGGAAGAAGTGCTGCTTAAATGTAGCCCAGCTCTCACAAGCACCCTTGCCTTCTAGCAATCTAGCCCATGAGATACTCCCAAGCAGGTCCCGGAAGAGGTCAAAGTTGGCTCTTCGGAAGTCCAGGGAAGCAATCCTGCTTTTAGCCTTACTTCCTTTGCCTAGTCCCACCTGGAACTCCACCATCTCATGGTCGCTGCATCCCAAGCTGCCCCCAACCTTCACATCCCTAACAAGGCCATCCCTGTTGGTAAGAAGGAGGTCCAGTAGCACCCCCGCCTCATCGGCTCCTCCACCACCTGCGTCAGAAAATTGTCCTCAACGCATTGTAAGAACTGTTTGGACTGCTCGTGCCTGGCCGAGTTGCTTACCCAGCAGATGTCTGGGTAATTGAAGTCCCCCATGAGGACCAGCGCTCGTGATCGTGAGGCTACTAGCAGCTGCTCATGGAAGGCCTCATCGACTTCCTCCTCCTGATCTGGAGACCTGTAGTCGACTTCCACAACCGTGCCTCCCATACCAAATATTCCTGATACTATTCCTGATAATATGATTCCTGATAATATTCCTGATACTGATCCCGAATATATGGATCGTGGGTTGCCAGTTAACTACGTGTCATTAATGTACTGCATCAAGACCGATTAGATTTAAGCTGTGCAATATGAGCAGATTTTCCCTGTAACAGTTCCCTACCCTCTGCATCTTCCTTCCTGATCAGCCACCCTCAGCTCAACCACAGAGTCAGGCATATTACAGAGCAAGAACAAACAGCACACATTCTCATTTGGGGGCATGAGTGGTACAATTCATCTTTGTTATCACGCTTTGTTCTAAAATTTCATTTTAGAATGTCTCACTGTGCTGTGAACCCAGTAGCAAGTACCTTCTAGTAGTTAATTCCTTCTAGGACAATACCAGCAAGCATGTTTATGGACCGTCTTGCCAATGCAACAGCACTGTTGGCATGGTCTGAGCCTTTTGTGCACATTTCTACACACAGTTTAGGTTTGTCCTCATTTACCACGAGCTGTGTGCCCTGCCCTTCCGAGCCTTTGATGCTCATGTTGTTAGCTATCCCATTTCTTCCTGAGCACATACTTGCCTGCCTCTTCACAGGGAGAAAGCTAACTGATGGGGTGTGGAAGAGCAGTGTCTGCATGCCCACAGCACTCAGTTCACAGCACAGAGAGGCCCAGCAGGGCTTCTTTTTCCTTCGGGATATCCTTAGGGATGCTTACATCCTCCAGAGTTTTCAATCAAGTCACCCCGAGCAGTGCTACAAGCACCATGTGTGCCTCACGTAGTGGTGACAGAGTAAAGCTTTGCGATCTGTCACAGGCAGGGATGCTGACATGATCTGGTGTTCCCTTCAGATCTCCGGCTCCATATCAGCAAGTCACGTGCCCTAGTGAGTGTGTTTATTATTATTTAATTTGCTTTGATAGCAAATACCAACAGCACAGGCATTTTCACACACGTTCTCTCTCACCAGGGAAGGATAAAAACACCGCTAATGTGTCTTGTGAAGCTGCTTGAAAATGTACAGAAGAAGATGCTCTGAGCAGCAGTGGTTCTGGTTTTCATCTGTTTTCCTTTGCCTCTGTGAGTTTCTGTTTTGCAACAAGCCTCTTGTGAAACGTCCTGACAGACAAATGATGAAAGTTTGTCATCTCCATGTGCTGTGAGAAATACCCCAGCTATGGCTCTGTCTGCACATCAGATTCGAGTCCGTGCAGACTGCCCGGCACTGTGGGAGCTGCCCTAGCTCCTCCTCCTGCAGCAGGGCTGTGCTTGTGGCCATACTGGTGACATGGACAGACTCTTGGTGGAGAAGTGATACTGTGGCAGCAATTATGAACCAGCAAGAGAGAGTCGGTCTTGGGACTGCAGGTAACCATAAAGCCTTCCTTTCTGCCCTCCTCTAGGAGAAGGAGAAGGTGGGGGAAAATACGGGGCTGGGATATATGAAGGGCATGGTACCGTGGCTGGCTGTGTACCAGCAGAAAGACCCAGTGCCCATTCTCGGGGTAGAAACCATCTCTTCAGCGTGTCTGCTGCCAGACACTGAGCTGGACTGTCAGTCCTTTGAGTAAGTGACTACTCGCTGTTGTGTTTAACAGGCTGGGATACAGAGCCCAGCTAAGAGTTGGGTAGCTGAGAGAAAGAAGCTCCAGAGAGAGGTGAGGAGGAGGGAGGTAGAGAAAGAGCATTCAGTGAAACACAGGGGGAAGGGAGGGCAACCAGGACGGTGTGCAGGGGAGAAAAGAGGTGTGACAGAAGAAGAAAAGTAGTGCAGCTTGGGAAGAGCGCAGGCATGGCTTGTGACATGAAGCAAGAGGGCAGTCCCCGTGTTGTCCTACGCTGCAGGTGTGACCCACTGCCAGTGACAGACAGCACGAGCTGGTTACAGCACCTGCGGGACCTGCCAGGCCTTGGGCCAGGGTTATCAGCAGGCTGTCAGGGCACGCAGCCCCTTGGATTATCCTGCCCCCCGACTCTGGGCCGGGGATTTCCACTCTTGCCTTGTGTTTTTCAGCCCCAGCAGAAGGGAGCAGCTGTTCCCGCCTGAGCCCCTGGGTCTTGCTCGTTTCTGCCCTTGCCGTCAAAACTGCCCTTATGACCGTCGGCCTCGGTGGGTGCCAGGGTCCCTTTACTTCTGCGGGGAGGAAGGGAACGGGGCCTGAAGTTGCCTGGTGTCAGGTGGAAAAAGAAAACCCCAGCCTCTTTGCCAGCAGGCGACTGCCCTGCACCCAAACAGCCTGTTCTGCTGCCCCTTTCCCACGCTGCCTCTTAGCTGGGGAGTCGCGTCCCTTGCACAGTTAGCAGGTAGTGTCCTGGCAGGGCCTTCCCACAGCTCCTCTCACTTGCCCACCTGTGCAGATAAAGTCCGTCCTGGGTGAAACCCATCAGTTCCTGCCCTCCCACTGCAACAGGGCCGAGAAGTCTCCTTAGTGCCAGACAACATCTGAGCAGGTTCCCCGAGGGCTGGCTGTTGGCTCTCAGTTCTGCTGGCCGCATTTGTGGTGTCCCTCAGCGCTCCTCGTGGCCCTGTTGCAGCCGAGGAGCCAGCATGATCTCCCTGGACATCCTGCTACCAGGGCTGCCCATGGTTGAGCAGAGTGAGGCGTAAATGCACCAAAATGCTCCAGCTGCATCCCACCCACACCGCCTGGAAGAAACAGAAGGGAAATATGTCACGTGTAGTGTCCTGGAGTATCGTTACTGCTCTGCGATAACTCTCCTGTGGTGTTCAGCTCCCTTGGGTGAGGCCTCAGCACTCAGCAGTTCTTCCCCTCCTTGGCATGGGTGAAAAGGGTGCTCTAAAGCTGCAGATCACAGGCAGATTAAGAGGGAATGCAGATTGATATTGCACCTTTACTAGGATGATCTCACAACTTCTTTGACCTTTTCCCGACCTCATCCTCAAAGGAGTCTTAGCTGGGCTTTGTCAGCTGGGAAAATGAGCCTCAGCCAGCTGAGGTGAGGGGGGCTCATCTGATCGGTGTTTGCCCAAGGGAGGGAGTGACCCGTAGTGGGGAAAGCTGTCTGCTCTTTTCCTTCAGGATACAATTTTCAGAGCTTGTTGGTGTAACCGAGTCTCTGAGGGAGCTCTCAGCCAGAAGGTGGAGGGCAGGACAGCTTGCCCATGAGTGAGGATGAAAGGATGACAGTAGCGCCTTCCTTCTCTTTCCTCTCTTCCCAGTTGTTCTCTTTCACAGGAGCTGTGGCCAGTACAAGACTCTGCCCCAGAATGCTTCGGAGTGGCACTGCATCACCAGTGGATCTGCAAGCCAAAGTGAGTGATGCTAAGAGCCTTGGGAGTGACACTGAGCACATCCCCCAAATTTATTCTGGTGTAAATCAGCCTTTGAGTTTGGGAACGGGATTGTCAGCCAGAGCTGGATTGCCCTAGGGAAGGAAGATGGAGAGATGAGGAAAGAAAATGCTGTGTTTTCAAGTCTGACTTAGGATGCTCTGAAAACACGTCCTGGGCCAGTGGAAGGGGGTGGGGTTCTCCATGTCCACCTTCTGATCACTCGTCCCATTCTCTGCCCACATACAGCCCCTCAGCTCCAGTCCAGTTCACAAATCTAGCCAAAAGCACTTCATCCTTTTGTAAGGGATGGCTCAGACCTGCGCTCTCTAGTGCCAGAGTATCTGTTTCTACAAATGTAATGGTAAACATTGATCTAATATAGAAGAACACAGGTAAATTAATATTTTTTTTCTACTTCTTCCACTCCCTGGACTCTTCACTCTCTCGATTTGGTGCCAAGAAGGGAATCTGAGACAACTGCTTTGACCCTGATTAGATTTTAACTGTGTGAAATGAGCAGCTTTTCATTTCACAGAATCACAGAATTGTAGGGGTTGGGAGATACATGAAGAGAGCATTGGGTCAAACCCCCCTGCCAAAGCAGGTTCCCTAGAGCAGGTTGCCCAGGAAGGCATCCAGATGGGCCTTGAATATCTCCAGAGAAAGGGACTCCACAGCCTCATGCATGGAAGCTGGGGGCTTTTGAAGAGTGTGAGCCCTGAAGCCTACATCTTCACTCTGCTGGGCGAGAATATGTGAGTGCAAGGGACATGGTGAAATATATACCTGTAGGTACTGGAAGAACTAAGCACCTACCCAGGCAGAAGCATTGCAGGCAGGCAGGTTCGTTGCTTTTCATGTGGTTCTTGCAGCACAAGAATTCTTTGCTTCTGGTTTTGGTTCCTCTGTGGTCTTGCTTTGGACCACAGCCTCCTGGGCCTCTCCTCCCTTCCCTGTTCCTTTCATTTTTCTGGCCCCATATCAGCAGCAGCTGGTTACAGCATTTGGCAGTCACACCTTGATTGCATAGATTAGCACAGGGAGCCCCTGGAGAGCTCCTGTGTGGGGAACCCAAGAAGACAGTCCCTGAGAGGTCTGGGATTCAGGGCAAGCATACACAGAATCACACACAGAATTTCTAGGTTGGAAGAGACCTCAAGATCATCGAGTCCAACCTCTAACCTAACACTAACAGTCCCCACTAAACCATATCCCTAAGCTCTACATCTAAACGTCTTTTGAAGACTTCCAGGGATGGTGACTCCACCACCTCCCTGGGCAGCCCGTTCCAGTGCCTCACAACCCTTTCAGTAAAGAAATTCTTCCTAACATCTAACCTAAAACTCCCCTGGCGTAACTTTAGCCCATTCCCCCTCGTCCTGTCACCAGGCACATGGGAGAACAGGCCAACCCCCACCTCTCTACAGCCTCCTTTAATGTACTTATACATAGCAATAAGGTCACCCCTGAGCCTCCTCTTCTCTAGGCTGAACAAGCCCAGCTCCTTCAGCCGCTCCTCATAGGACTTGCTCTCCAGGCCCCTCACCAGCTTCGTCGCCCTTCTTTGGACCCGCTCAAGCACCTCGATGTCCTTCTTGTAGCGAGGGGCCCAAAACTGAACACAGTACTCGAGGTGCGGCCTCACCAGAGCCGAGTACAGGGGGACGATCACCTCCCTAGCCCTGCTGGTCACAGTGTTTCTGATACAAGCCAGGATGCCGTTGGCCTTCTTGGCCACCTGAGCACACTGCTGGCTCATATTCAGCCGACTGTCCACCATCACTCCCAGGTCCTTCTCTGCCTGGCAGCTCTCCAACCACTCATCTCCCAGCCTGTAGTTCTGCTTGGGGTTATTGCGCCCCAGGTGCAGGACCCGGCACTTGGCCTTGTTGAACGTCATGCAGTTGACCTCAGCCCATCGGTGCAGCCTATCCAGATCCTCCTGCAGAGCCTTCCTACCCTCGAGTAGATCGACACACGCACCTAGCTTGGTGTCATCTGCGAACTTACTGAGGGTGCACTCAGCATCTTCAGCTCTGCTCAGTGTACCAGAGTCTCTTTGTTGGTTGACTAGACTAGAAGGACTTCTTTGTTGGACATGTTCCAAATTGAGTTATATTCTGTGTGTGATAGAAACAGCTTACAGATAGAGGTATATAACCTGAAAAAAGATAACCTCGTCCTTTAGAGAATGTGCCCATGCTTTTTAATCCATCATGCGACTTTCTGCATGTATGGCAAATTTCTAGGAAAACATGCACGGCTTGTGTAAGAAACTACCAGTGTTGGCAGTGAGGCTGCCAGCCTAGTTTACTGTGTATGTTTGTTCCTGTGTATGAGATGAGAGCTAATCACTTGGACAATGCTTTTCTGATGTCAGTGTCCCCAGAGGAGTGCTGCCAGCTACTTCCCATCTGACTTCCTCAGGAACGGTGAGGCAAAAAGTGCCTCTCCCCAAGCAGAGCTTGAATGGGCACGATAGAACAAGGGAAAAAGCTCTTCAAGCAGGGGCCCGGTGACAGCAATCTGTCAGGGTGTCAATGGTGCTGTTTGTGGAGCACAAAAGAGAGCATTTACCGCAGTCCAAAAAGAAATGTGCAGTTCAAACCCCTTCCCTGATACTTGGGGTTCTGTGCTGAGCTCACTAAGAGGCACAGCGCATCTTGTCCAACACAGGCTCTTCTTCCCCTACAGAGGTCAGCTGGAAGTGCTGTCCAGAGGGCTGGAGACCCTTTCAGGAAAGCTGCTATTACTTCTCAGATGATCAGATGCCCTGGGATGAGAGCCAGCAGAACTGCGGTGGGATGGGCTCCCAGCTGGTGGTCATCAATACAAAAGCAGAGCAGGTAAGTGCAGGGCTGGGAGAGGGCCAGAGCAGCCTGGAGACAGGAGTGCCAGGCCTGGAGGGGCCTCAGAGCCCCTCCTGGCTCCTGCAGTGGAGGGGGGATGTCCTTGCTGCATCCACTCAGCACTGGCTCCAGTCTGACACCAGCTCCACCCCACTGGGACTCCTGCCACCTCCCTCTGTTCAGTCCTGAACCTCATGGACGTTGTACTCTCCCTGATTTCCAGGATTTCCTCTCTAAGGAAATAAGAAGACAGATGAAATACCGACTAAATGGAATCAATTTATACATCGGTCTGAGAGCACAGAAGGTGGGCCAGTGGCGCTGGGCAGACCAGACTCCCTATAATGAAAGAGCAGCGTGAGTATCCCATGACGGAGAGGGTTTGGTGTGGCTCCGGGTAGTGCAAGAGGGTGGAAGAGATGTGAGGGTGTCTGATGAGCATGGGAGGGATATGCCATGGCTGTCTGTGAGAGGACAATGATGGAGCCGGCAAGGGCTTTGTAGGATACCAGGTTCCCACAGATCCATCCATGCTGGTTAGTGGTTAGCGATAAATTATCTGTGACATGGCCATCGGTGCTGTAGGCAGAGAAGAAGCTGCATTTCCTGAGGAGAAATACATGAATTCATACAGGACAAGCCATGTGCCTGTAGGTGTGCAGGTGTAAGCACATGCTGGGCCAGTGCTGTCATGCTGCAGAAGCGATGGGGTGCTGGAGAGATCACCAGGGCTTGGCTTGCAGATGTTTCTTCTGGAAGAGACGCATCCCCTGCTGGCTGTGAAGTGCCTGGCATGAGCTGTGGTGAGCAGCTCTGCCCACCAGGACTGAACAGCTCCCTGCTGTGTTGGTTCTAGGAAGAAGTCAGGTTTGCATGTAAGACTGCTGCCAGTGGGATTAGCAGAGTGCGAGGAAGGGTACGACTTCTGTCCATCAAACTGCATCTGGAGTGTCTCCCCTCCAAGCCTTGTGTTGAACGTGTGGCCTTTTCCAGCAATGTGCTTGCAGGGTGCACAGGGAGTAACATGTCTGTCTCTCTCTCAGGTTCTGGAGGTCTGGGGAGCCAAGTAATGTGACTGATGAGCCGTGCGTTGTAATCAGTTACCAGAAAGATGTTTTCCGAAACTGGAATGATGTCCCGTGCAGAATACGTTTTTATCGGATTTGTGAAAATGCAGCAGTAACTCTATGATGGAGGAATCCTCATCCTGAGATTAGCAGCGAACTGGGAAAAACAGAGGGCTGTGTTGGGAGGGGTAGGAGAGCCTTGGAGCCTTTATCTTCCCTCTGCTGGGTGGGATGGTGAGACTGGGAGTGATGTTGCTCTGCACCCAGCATCCCCTGTGCCTGTGCATTTCTCAAAGTACCCCTGATGTGGAAACAATAAATGCTAGAAGAACTCTGCATGTGCTTTCTCAGGCTGATCATCCAATCCCACGGTTGGTGAAGACAGATTTGGCAATGGAAGCTCCAGGCAAGCATGGCAGGTGAAGGGTCATGTCTGGGAAATGTGCCAGTACCTTTCTTTCAATGCCATTGCCTCCCTGGGACTGACACATGAGGGTTCAGGGTCATCAGAGCAGTTCCTGGGCTCTTCTGTCAGTCATCCTCTTCTCTCTGTGTGGGTCTGGCAGCTGCTGGCTGAAAAGAGCTGGAGCTCTCCTGAAGGAAGAAGATGCAGGAATGCAAGAAGGATGCTCAGAGCTGCTGTTCTCTTTGTCTGCTTGAGAAGAGGTGTCTGCTTCTTGCTGGATCATAGAGAGTCCTGTTCAGCATTGGCTTTGCTGAACAAATACTGATTTCCTGTAAAGCAGAAAATACAATATTACACCGATGAAAAAGGCTCTGGGCTCACTCCCCCTCTCTCTCTTTCCCTTTCCCTCTCTAAGCTGAGGTATTTTGCACATGCACGTGCTTCATACCAAGCCTGTTGCTGTGCCAGCAAAGAGCCAGAGATGACTGCAGTAGAAGTTGCATACACCCAGTGAGTCTTAACGCTTCAGAGATAACCTGTGTGTAACGGTCCTGTCGCACACAGCCAGGGCTCTGGGAGAGAGCGGGCACAGGAAACCAGCTGTGGGGTTTTCATATGTTGCCATGCTGAAACTCTTACCTGACAGAGAAACAGGAGCGTGTGCCAGGAGTCTAGCCTGCACATGGTTGACCAGGTATGAGGACATGGCCCCAGCAGCAAAATTAGTAGGTCTTTTGGTCACCCTTCCCACCTCAGAGCTAATTCTGGACTCAACAGATGCAGCGGGCGTCCTGGGAGGCTGGCACCTCAGTGGGCCCTGTCAGGGCACCCCTGCCCAGGCTGGATGATGCTGGAGAAGAGGCAGGGAGAGGCAGGGCAGTTGCTGCCCGTGAGGGCCCCTCCAGAACTGCAATGCATATTGCCTCCACTTCCACCCGAGTCTTGCTGCAGACCATGTGCCCCTGTGGCTCCCATCCTTCTCCACCCCTTTCTGTTTCCTGGTCCCTATGCCCCCACCTCTGTTTGCCTCGGGAAGCATCACCTGCCTCGGTGCTCCCAAACAACCCGTGCCAGTTCCCCGTGCAGCGCCGATGTGCATCTCCTGGCTGTGTTGTTCTGTCCTACCTATAACGTGAGCCGTCCCTCTGTGTCCCAGTGCAGGGGAGAATTAGTACTGGAGAAAAGGTGGCTGACCAGGAGAGTTGGCTTCCTAAACGCATCCATGGGAGTCATTGTGTGGGTGGTGGCAGAAGCTGCCGAATGCCATAACCCAGCAGATGCAAGGCAGCTGCATTGCCATGTCCTTAAGTCCAGGCTGTAGCGAGGCTGAGTGTGTACACCAAACAGGCACAGCTGCACACATTCACACAGCGTGTACGTATACAGGTACAAGTATGCATAGCATGCAGACAGATGAGCACTGCTGAAAAGCACTTGCACAATCAGCACCAGCAGCCTCACCCTACTGCCCTCTCTGGCTGCTCAGGGTGAAAGCTTGTTAGCTGAGAATATACGCTTACATATATGCAGTATGGATCCCTCCAGGTGTAGGATATCCCGACCGAAAGCCCCGGGACAAACTGACACAACGACCAGCATTCTGTGCCATAAGCCAATTTATTACTGCGTGACATTATCTTATTTAGTGTCAAAGCGTCCCACCCAGGAACGCAGGACCCCTCCCACTGTGCTCGCAGTAACCCCAGACCCCTCCTTTCGTGCACGCAGGCACAACCCAGAATAATCCCACACCAGGAGCTAGGCTTAATCATTGAGTATCCAGTAGCTGCACTGTAGATTGCAAGGTCACATAAGACCCCTGTTGCCGCAGTATTTTCTTCTGTCCACATCCCACTGATCTTGTTGTATCCATGCTGTTCTTGTTGGCTCTTGCCTGTACTGCAAGGGTCTGGGAAAGTAGACTCAAGATTCTCCGGGGCCTCCAACTAGCAATTCCTAGCAATGAACTTGGTAAAACCAAGTTCCACTGTCTTCAGTGGTTCAGGGACAGGCACGAGAGACCCTGGCAACTCTGCCAGGTTGGAGCATCTATAAGCAGAGTTGGATGCCATGGGCAGGCATTCAGCTGTCATTCCTGGCTGTGAGGGGTACGGCAAATACACACCCACAGCTTCAGCAGATGCATGTGCCCTTGAGCTTCCTCAGCAGCCTGTGGGTCAGCAGACTGCATGAAGTGGTGTGGACGCACACAGAACCTGCACCAGCAGCAGGAAGCCCCTGTAAACAGGGGAACCCACACGCACAGAAAAGAGGATGTGTTCTCGTAAGCTGCACTTCCCACCGCAGAAGCGAGAGCAGGGTCAGGAGCTTGTGCAAGTGTGCGTCTGATAACATGTAGGGTCTGGAGTTCTTGGGGGGGTAGCTGCAGAAAGCTGTTTAGAAACCCATAGCTGTTTATTAATGTGTCATTGATCCATTATATCGAAGAATCACAGAATCAGAGAACTGTAGGGGTTGGAAGGGAACTCGAAAGATCATCGGGTCCAACCCTCCTGCCAAAGGAGGTTCCTCAGAGCAGGCTGCCCAGCTAGGCATCCAGACAGGCCTTGAATATCTCCAGAGAAGGAGACTCCACAACCTCCCTAGGCAGCCTGTTCCAGTGCTCCGTCACCCACACCATGAAGAGGACAAACAACAGAGTCCCAGGGGAGGTCCAGGAGCACCCCCCGCCTCGATGGCTCCTCCACCACCTGTGTCAGAAAATTGTCCTCAACGCATTGTAGGAACTGTTTGGACTGCTCGTGCCTGGCCGAGTTGCTTACCCAGCAGATGTCTGGGTAATTGAAGTCCACCAAGGACCAGCGCTCGTGATCGTGAGGCTACTAGCAGCTGCTCGTAGAAGGCCTCATCGACTTCCTCCTCCTGATCTGGAGACCTGTAGTAGACCCCTACCACCGTGCCTCCCATACCAAATATTCCTGATACTATTCCTGATAATATGATTCCTGATAATATTCCTGATACTGATCCCGAATATATGGATCGTGGGTTGCCAGTTAACTACATGTCATTAATGTACTGCATCAAGACCGATTAGATTTAAGCTGTGCAATATGAGCAGATTTTCCCTGTAACAGTTCCCTACCCTCTGCATCTTCCTTCCTGATCAGCCACCCTCAGCTCAACCACAGAGTCAGGCATATTACAGAGCAAGAACAAACAGCACACATTCTCATTTTGGGGCATGAGTGGTACAATTCATCTTTGTTACCAAGCTTTGTTCTAAAATTTCATTTTAGAATCTCTCACTGTGCTGTGAACCTTCTAGAACAAGTACCTTCTAGTAGCTACTTCCTTCTAGGACAATACCAGCAAGCATGTTTATGGACCGTCTTTCCAATGCAACAGCTCTGTTGGCATGGTCTGAGCCTTTTGTGCACGTTTCTACACACGGTTTACGTTTGTCCTCATTTACCACCAGCTGTGTGCCCTGCCCTTCCGAGCCTTTGATGCTCATGTTGTTAGCTATCCCATGTCTTCCTCAGCACATACTTGCCTGCCTCTTCACAGGGAGAAAGCTAACTGATGGGGTGTGGAAGAGCAGTGTCTGCATGCCCAGAGCACTCAGTTCAGAGCACAGAGAGGCCCAGCAGGGCTTCTTTTTCCTTCGGGATATCCTTAGGGATGCTTACATCCTCCGGAGTTTTCAATCAAGTCACCCCGAGCAGTGCTACAAGCACCATGTGTGCCTCACGTAGTGGTGACAGAGTAAAGCTTTGCGATCTGTCACAGGCAGGGATGCTGACATGATCTGGTGATCCCTTCAGATCTCCGGCTCCATATCAGCAAGTCACGTGCCCTAGTGAGTGTGTTTATTACTATTTATCCCTTTGCTAGCAAATACCAACAGCACAGGCATTTTCACACTCGTTCTCTCTCACCAGGGAAGGATAAAAACACCACTAATGTGTCTTGTGAAGCTGCTTGAAAATGTGCAGAAGAAGATGGTCTGAGTGGCAGGGGTTCTAGTTTTCATCTGTTTTCCTTTGCCTCTGTGAGTTTCTTTTTTGCAACAAGCCTCTTGTGAAACGTCCTGACAGAGAAATGATGAAAATTCCCCCATCTCCATGTGCTGTGAGAAATACCCCAGGTATGGCTCTGTCTGCACATCAAATTCGAGTCCGTGCAGACTGCCCGGCACTGTGGGAGCTGCCCTAGCTCCTCCTCCTGCAGGAGGGCTGTGCTTGTGGCCATACTGGTGACATGGACAGACTCTTGGTGGAGAAGTGATGCTGTGGCAGCAATTATGAACCAGCAAGAGAGAGTCAGTCCTGGGACTGCAGGTAACCGTAAAGCCTTCCTTTCTGCCCTCCTCTAGGAGAAGGAGAAGGTGGGGGAAAATATGGGGCTGGGATATATAAAGGGCATGGTACCGTGGCTGGCTGTGTACCAGCTGTACCAGCAGAAAGACCAAGTGCCCATTCTCAGGGTAGAAACCATCTCTTCTGCGTGTCTGCCGCCACAGACACTGAGCTGGACTGTGAGTCCTTTGAGTAAGTGACCACTCGCTGTTGTGTAAAACAGGCTGGGGGACAGAGCCCAACTAAGAATTGGGTCGCTGAGAGAAAGAAGCTCCAGAGAGAGGTGAGGAGGAGGGAGGTAGAGAAAGAGCATTCAGTGAAAGACGGGGTAAGGGAGGGCAACCAGGAAGGTGTGCAGGGGAGAAAAGAGGCGTGACAGAAGAAGAAAAGTAGTGCAGCTTGGGAAGAGCGCAGGTATGGCTTGTGACATGAAGCAAGAGGGCAGTCCCCGTGTTGTCCTACGCTGCAGGTGTGACCCACTGCCAGTGACAGACAGCACGAGCTGGTTCCAGCGCCTGCGGGACCTGCCAGGCCTTGGGCCAGGGTTATCAGCAGGCTGTCAGGGCACGCAGCCCCTTGGATTATCCTGCCCCCCGACTCTGGGCCGGGGATTTCCACTCTTGCCTTGTGTTTTTCAGCCCCAGCAGAAGGGAGCAGCTGTTCCCGCCTGAGCCCCTGGGTCTTGCTCGTTTCTGCCCTTGCCGTCAAAACTGCCCTCATGACCGTCGGCCTCGGTGGGTGCCAGGGTCCCTTTACTTCCCCGGGGAGGAAGGGAACGGGGCCTGAAGTTGCCTGGTGTCAGGTGGAAAAAGAAAACCCCAGCCTCTTTGCCAGCAGGCGACTGCCCTGCACCCAAACAGCCTGTTCTGCTGCCCCTTTCCCACGCTGCCTCTTAGCTGGGGAGCCGCGTCCCTTGCACAGTTAGCAGGTAGTGTCCTGGCAGGGCCTTCCCACAGCTCCTCTCACTTCCCAGCTGCCGAATCCAGCCAGTCCTGGGTGAAACCCATCAGTTCCTGCCCTCCCACTGCAACAGGGCCGAGAAGTCTCCTTAGTGCCAGACGACATCTGAGCAGGTTCCCCGAGGGCTGGCTGTTGGCTCTCAGTTCTCCTGGCCGCATTTGTGGTCTCCCTCAGAGCTCCTCATGACCCTGTTGCAGCCGAGGAGCCAGCATGATCTCCCTGGACATCCTGCTACCAGGGCTGCCCACGGTTGAGCAGAGTGAGGCGTAAATCCTCCAAAATGCTCCAGCTGCATCCCACCCACACCGCCTGGAACAAACAGAAGGGAAATATGTTGCGTGTAGTGTCCTGGAGTATCGTTACTGCTCTGCGATAACTCTCCTGTGGTGTTCAGCTCCCTTGGGTGAGGCCTCAGCACTCAGCAGTTCTTCCCCTTCTTGGTATGCGTGCAAAGGGTGCTCTAAAGCTGCAGAACACAGGCAGATTAAGAGGGAATGCAGATTGATATTCCACCTTTACTAGGATGATCTCACAACTTCTTTGACCTTTTCCTGACCCCATCCTCTAAGGGTGTCTTAGCTGGGCTTTGTCAGCTGGGAAAATGAGTCTCAGCCAGCTGAGGTGAGGGGGGCTCATCTGATCAGTGTTTGCCCAAGGGAGGGAGTGACCCGTAGTGGGGAAAGCTGTCTGCTCTTTTCCTTCAGGATACAATTTTCAGAGCTTGTTGGTGTAACCGAGTCTCTGAGGGAGCTCTCAGCCAGAAGGTGGAGGGCAGGACAACTTGCCCATGAGTGAGGATGAAAGGATGACAGTAGCGCCTTCCTTCTCTTTCCCCTCTTCCCAGTTGTTCTCTTTCACAGGAGCTGTGGCCAGTACAAGACTCTGCCCCAGAATGCTCCAGGGTGGCACTGCATCCCCAATGGATCTGCAAGCCAAAGTGAGTGATGCTAAGAGCCTTGGGAGTGACACTGAGCACGTCCCCCACATTTATTCTGGTGTAAGTCAGCCTTTGAGTTTGGGAACGGGATTGTCAGCCAGAGCTGGATTGCCCTAGGGAAGGATGATGGAGAGATGAGGAAAGAAAATGCTGTGTTTTCAAGTCTGACTTAGGATGCTCTGAAAACACGTCCTGGGCCAGTGGAAGAGGGTGGCTTGCTCCAGTTCTACCTTGTGATCACTCGTCCCATTCTCTGCCCACATATAGCCCCTCAGCTCCAGTCCAGTTCACAAATCTAGCCAAAAGCACTTCATCTTTTTGAAAGGGATGGCTCAAACCTGTGTTCTCCAGTGCCATGGTTTCTGTTTCTACAAATGTAATGGTAAACATTGATCTAATACAGAAGAACACAGGAAAATTAACATTTTTTTTTCTGCTTCTTCCACTCCCTGGACTTTTCAATTTCTCGATTTGGTGCCAAGAAGGGAATCTGAGACAACTGCTTTGACCCTGATTAGATTTAAACTGTGTGAAATGAGCAGCTTTTCATTTCACAGAATCACAGAATTGTAGGGGTTGGGAGGGACGTGAAGAGAGCATTGGGTCCAACCCCCCTGCCAAAGCAGGTTCCCTAGAGCAGGTTGCCCAGGTAGGCATCCAGATGGGCCTTGAATATCTCCAGAGAAAGGGACTCTACAGCCTCATGAATGGAAGCTGGGACCTTTTGAAGAGTGTGAGCCCTGAAGCCTGCATCTTCACTCTGCTGGGTGAGAATATGTGAGTGCAAGGGACATGGTGAAATATATACCTGTAGGTACTGGAAGAACTAAGCACCTGCCCAGGCAGAAGCATTGCAGGCAGGCAGGTTCATTGCTTTTCATGTGGTTCTTGCAGCACAAGAATTCTTTGCTTCTGGTTTTGGTTCCTCTGTGGTCTTGCTTTGGACCACAGCCTCCTGGGCCTCTCCTCCCTTCCCTGTTCCTTTCATTTTTCTGGCCCCATATCAGCAGCAGCTGGTTACAGCATTTGGCAGTCGCACCTTGATTGCATAGATTAGCACAGGGAGCCCCTGGAGAGCTCCTGTGTGGGGAACCCAAGAAGAAAGTCCCTGTGAGGTCTGAGATTCAGCTCTGCTCAGTGTACCAGAGTGTCTTTGTTGGTTGACTAGACTGGAAGGACTTGTTTGTTGGACATGTTCCATATTGAGCTATATTCTGTGTGTGATAGAAACAGCTTACAGATAGAGGTATATAACCTGAAAAAAGATAACCTCGTCCTTTAGAGAATGTGCCCATGCTTTTCACTCCATCATGTGACTTTCTACGTGCATGGCAAATTTCTAGGAAAACATGCACAGCTTGTGTAAGAAACTACCAGTGTTGGCAGTGAGGCTGCCAGCCTAGTTTACTGTGTATGTTTGTTCCTGTGTATGAGATGAGAGCTAATCGCTTGGACAATGCTTTTCTGATGTCTGTGTCCCCAGAGGAGTGCTCAGCTCCTTCCCATCTCACTTCCTCAGGAACGGTGAGGCAGAAAGTGCCTCTCCCCAAGCAGAGCTTGAATGGGCAGATAGAACAAAGGAAAAAGCTCTTCAAGCAGGGGCCGGTGACAGCAATCTGTCAGGGTGTCAATGGTGCTGTTTGTGGAGCACAAAAGAGAGCATTTACCGCTGTCCAAAAGAAATGTACAGTTCAAACCCCTTCTCTGATACTTGGGGTTCTGTGCTGAGCTCACTGAGAAGAGGCACAGCACATCTTGTCCAACACAGGTCTTTCTTCCCCTACAGAGGACAGCTGAAAGTGCTGTCCAGTGGGCTCGAGACCCTTTAAAGAAAGCTGCTATTACTTCTCAGATGATTGGATGCCCTGGGATAAGAGCCAGCAGAACTGCAGTGGGATGGGCTCCCAGCTGGGATGGGCTTACCAATCTCTGCAATCTGTCCGCCACTGCAACGCTGAGTATCCCCAGCAACCAAAAAGGAATATGTGGGTTAAAGCCAGCTCAGGCTCATTGCTCTCCTCAGAGTTGTTTTTGTTGTTCAGTTTCCTATGCTGTTTTGGGCTGAAACAATACATACCTTCATCCCATGCCAGTCTGGCTAACTTAGGAGATTATTGCCATCGTTTTGATCTTCTGAGGGATGTACAGTTACACAGCTGGTCAATTCACTCAGCTGATATAACTGGTTGATTCACTCAGCTAACTAGGGCAAAGCCCACTCCTTGGTCCCATTTGTGCTGAGATAAGGTCCCCTTTCATTGCAACAGCTGTAGTCAGTCACTGCATACATTCTTCCCCGAGCTTTGTAATTGCCCCTGCCCAGCTCTTCTGAGCCTTTGTCCATTATAGGAGATCACTGATCACTCACTGTGATTACTCTTCCCTCCTCATTAGTATTGCTATTTCTAAATGACACAGCTGATGAAAATAGACGTCTCTATTGTCAATGTTATCTATATTATCAATATCCCTGAGTGTCTGAGTTGGTGACCACTCCACAGTCCTTTGGGCTGTGAACATGGCCTGCTGACACCAGCCACCACCACTGTATGAGCCAAATAGCAATTCCCAAGTATTCCACCCTGGTTTCAGTAGAGAGAGGCATATGCTGTTACCTTCACCTGGACTGTCTTTGCTGCTGCTAAAACGGGCCCATCTAATGTGTTTCTCATCCAAACTATTGCTGATGTCTATGGCTAGCTTAGGAAGAGAGAAACTGTGTTGCTGAAGTGCTTCTTCTAATCCACTGAGTGTAAAGGGATTTAGATGGGTATCTCCATGGTCAATACCTGTGGTCAGGTGGAATCAGCCCCACCCTGTGTCATGTTCTCTGTGTTATCCCCTCCCAGGGGTCCCTCTGCTCTCTGACATGGAAGGTTGTCACTTGCTGTGAAGGCAGCCATACTGCTTTGGGCCTAGTTTTCTAAGAGCCATGGAGCAACTAACCCCACACCTTCAGCTCCATGGCATCCAAGGAAGCCTGAGGGCATCTGCTCAGTGCTGGGACAGACTCCAGTAACAAACCACTGGCTTGCCACAGCCACCTGGGACTGCTCAGGTGGGTCCCAGGCTTCCCTAGCTTTGTTGACTAGGTCATCCTGGCTAGAAATTGTCAGTCACTGAGTGGAGGACCCTTGCAGGCAGCTGTGGGTGGCTGGGAGCAGAAATGCTTGTTCCTCTTCCCTGACAGAATGTCAGTTACCTCTTGAGAACCTGAAAGGGAGAGCCAGAGGAGCAGTGATGCTGAGTCAGTGCTTGGTGGGGAAATGCATAAAAAAGTGAAGCACAAAACAGTGTGGGAGAAGCACGGAGAAAGTGGTAACCCTGCCTTCTTTTCTCTCCCTTTCCAGTCACTCACGTCTCCCAGAGCTGTGACAAGCCCGCAGCCCTGCAGGGGAACCATACAGAGTGGCACTGCATCTTGGCGGTGCCTCAAAGCAAAGGTCAGTCGTGCTGGCAAGGATGCAGGAGGTCTTCATTATGAGGATGGTGATTGCTGGGGTCTGCTCTCACAGCAAGCAGCAACAGGAGCAGGCTCCAGAGGAGAGATGTGGGAGAGAGAGAAAAAGGATTTCCTGCTAGCAGCTTAGGGGGAGGATAGGTCCATGTTAAGAGTGTCCTGGGAGGGCAGGGTGTGTGTGAACACAGTGACAATAACAAAATGCATAGTATCATACAGTGGTGCAGGGAAGATTAATAATGGAGCAATAATAAAAGTGCAACTCTCTTCAGAAAAACAAGCAATATTCCCTGCTGCTGCACCTACAATCCTATGGGAGACTGTACAAGGAGGAGTCAAAACAGATCACCAGAATGGCTTTGTCTTTGTCAAGGCAAGACCTGCGAGCATGGTACAAGGATTACCATGGACTTGTGTACACAGAGCTCTCTTCTGATCATACCTCAAAACAATTTGAAGAAATACCTGCATTATACTTGTTTCTTTTAATTCCAAAAATTTATGGAAGGAAGGAAGGAAGGAAGGAAGGAAGGAAGGAAGGAAGGAAGGAAGGAAGGAAGGAAGGAAGGAAGGAAGGAAGGAAGGAAAGATCTAAGTTAGAATATGAGCATTGTCCCTGGAGAACAAGGGGGTCTTTGCAGTGACCATCTCTCTCTTTATTAGCATTCATGCTTCGTGGTCTCTCTCTGCACAGAACGAGACTGGAAGTGCTGTCCAGACGGCTGGAGACCCTTTCAGGAAAGCTGCTATTACTTCTCAGATGATCGGATGCCCTGGAATGAGAGCCAGCAGAACTGCAGTGGGATGGGCTCCCAGCTGGTGGTGATCAATACAGAAGCAGAGCAGGTAAGTGCAGGGCTGAGAGAGGGGCAGAGCAGCCTGCAGACAGGAGTGCCAGGCCTGGGGGGGCCTCAGAGCCCCTCCTGGCTCCTGCAGTGGAGGGGGGATGTCCTTGCTGCATCCACTCAGCACTGGCTCCTGTCTGACACCAGCTCCACCCCACTGGGACTCCTGCCACCTCCCTCTGTTCAGTCCTGAACCTCATGGACGTTGTACTCTCCCTCATTTCCAGGCTTTCCTCTATAAGGAAATGGGAAGACAGTTTAAACACCAGCGAAACGGAGTCATTTTATACATCGGTCTGAGGGCACAGAAGGTGGGCCAGTGGCGCTGGGCAGACCAGACTCCCTATAATGAATCAGCAGCGTGAGTATCCCATGACGGAGAGGGTTTGGTGTGGCTCCGGGTAGTGCAAGAGGGTGGAAGAGATGTGAGGGTGTCTGATGAGCGTGGGAGGGATATGCCATGGCTGTCTGTGAGAGGACAATGATGGAGCCGGCAAGGGCTTTGTAGGATACCAGGTTCCCACTGATCCATCCATGCTGGTTAGTGGTTAGCGATAAGTTATCTGTGACATGGCCATCGGTGCTGTAGGCAGAGAAGAAGCTGCATTTTCTGAGGAGAAATACATGAATTCATACAGGACAAGCCTTGCCTGACCTCCGTACTGCCCAACACACACTTGTGCAGGTGTAGGCACAAGGTCTATGCGCCTGTAGGTGTGCAGGTGTAGGCACATGCTGGGCCAGTGCTGTCATGCTGCAGAAGCGATGGGGCACTGGGAGAGATCACCAGGGCTTGGCTTGCAGATGTTTCTTCTGGAAGAGACGCATCCCCTGCTGGCTGTGAAGTGCCTGGGGTGAGCTGTGGTGAGCAGCTCTGCCCACCAGGACTGAACAGCTCCCTGCTGTGTTGGTTCTAGGAAGAAGTCAGGTTTGCATGTAAGACTGCTGCCAGTGGGATTAGCAGAGTGAGAGGAAGGGTACGACTTCTGTCCATCAAACAGCATCTGGAGTGTCTCCCCTCCAAGCCTTGTGTTGAACGTGTGGCCTTTTCCAGCAACGTGTTTGCAGGGTACACAAGGAGTAACATGTCTGTCTCTCTCTCAGGTTCTGGAGGCCTGGGGAGCCAAGTGATGATCCTGCAGAGATGTGTGTTGTAATCCATCAAAATATAGAAAATCTCCGGAACTGGAATGATGTCCCATGCACAATCCGTTCTTATCGGATTTGTGAGACTGCAGCAGCAACTCTATGATGGAGGAATCCTCATCCTGAGATTAGCAGCGAACTGGGAACAGCAGAAGGCTGTGTTGGGAGGGGTAGGAGAGCCTTGGAGCCTTTATCTTGCCTCTGCTGGGTGGGATGGTGAGACTGGGAGTGATGTTGCTCTGCATCCAGCATCCCCTGTGCATGTGTATTTCTGAAAGTACCCCTGAAGTGGAAACAATAAATGCTAGAAGATCTCTGCCTGTGCTTTCTCAGGCTGACCATCCCATCCCATGGTCGGTGAAGACAGATTTGGCAATGGAAGCTCCAGGCAAGCATGGCAGGTGAAGGTCATGTCTGGGAAATGTGCCAGTACCTTTCTTTCAATGCCATTGCCTCCCTGGGACTGACACAGGAGGGTTTGGGGTCATCAGAGCAGTTCCTGGGCTCTTCTGTCAGTCATCCTCTTCTCTCTGTGTGGGTCTGGCAGCTGCTGGCTGAAAAGAGCTGGAGCTCTCCAGAAGGAAGAAGATGCAGGAATGCAAGAAGGATGCTCAGAGCTGCTGTTCCCTTTGTCTCCTTGAGAAGAGGTGTCTGCTCCTTGCTGGGTCATAGAGAGTCCTGTTCAGCATTGGTTTTGCTGAACAAATACTGATTTCCTGTGAAGCAGAAAATACAATATTACACCGATGAAAACGGCTCTGGGCTCACTCCCCCTCTCTCTCTTTCCCTTTCCCTCTCTAAGCTGAGGTATTTTGCACATGCACGTGCTTCATACCAAGCATGTTGCTGTGCCAGCAAAGAGCCAGAGATGACTACTGCAGTAGAAGTTGCATACACCCAGTGAGTCTTAACGTTTCAGAGATAACCTGTGTGTAACGGTCCTGTCGCACAAAGCCAGGGCTCGGGGAGAGAGCGGGCACAGGAAACCAGCTGTGGGGTTTTCATATGTTGCCATGCTGAAGGTCTTACCTGAGAGAGAAACAGGAGCGTGTGCCAGGAGTCTAGCCTGCACATGGTTGACCAGGTATGAGGACGTGGCCCCAGCAGCAAAATTAGTAGGTCTTTTGGTCACCCTTCCCACCTCAGAGCTAATTCTGGACTCAACAGATGCAGCGGGCGTCCTGGGAGGCTGGCACCTCAGTGGGCCCTGTCAGGGCACACCTGCCCAGGCTGGACGATGCTGGAGAAGAGGCAGGGAGAGGCAGGGCGGTTGCTGCCCGTGAGGGCCCCTCCAGAAGTGCAATGCATATTGCCTCCACTTCCACCCGAGTCTTGCTGCAGACCATGTGCCCCTGTGGCTCCCATCCTTCTCCACCCCTTTCTGTTTCCTGGTCCCTATGCCCCCACCTCTGTTTGCCTCGGGAAGCATCACCTGCCTCGGTTCTCCCAGACAAACCGTGTCAGTTCCCCGTGCAGCGCCGATGTGCATCTCCTGGCTGTGTTCTTCTGTCCTACCTATAACGTGAGCCATCCCTCTGTGTCCCAGTGCAGGGGAGAATTTGTACTGGAGAAAAGGTGGCTGACCAGGAGAGCTGGCTTCCTAAACGCATCCATGGGAGTCGTTGTGTGGGTGGTGGCAGAAGCTGCCGAATGCCATAGCCCAGCAGACACAAGGCAGCTGCATTGCCATGTCCTTAGGTCCAGGCTGTAGCGAGGCTGAGTGTGTACACCAAACAGGCAAAGCTGCACACATTCACACAGCGTGTACGTATACAGGTACAAGTATGCATAGCATGCAGACAGACAGATGAGCACTGCTGAAAAGCACTTACACAAACAGCACCAGCAGCCTCACCCTACTGCCCTCTCTGGCTGCTCAGGGTGAAAGCTTGTTAGCAGAAAATATACACTTACATATATGCAGTATGGATCCCTCCAGGAGCTAGGCTTAATCATTGAGTATCCAGTAGCTGGACCCTAGATTGCAATGTCATGCAAGACAACTGTCGCTGCAGTATTTCCTTCTGTTCACGTTCCACTGATCTTGTTGTATCCATGCTGTTCTTGTTGGCTCTTGCCTCTACTGTGAGGGTCTGGGAAAGTAGACTCAAGATTCTCCGGGGCCTCCAACTAGCATTTCCTAGCAATGAACTTGGTAAAACCAAGTTCCACTGTCTTCAGTGGTTCAGGGACAGGCACGAGAGACCCTGGCAACTCTGCCAGGTTGGAGCATCTATAAGCAGAGTTGGATGCCATGGGCAGGCATTCAGCTGTCATTCCTGGCAGTAAGCGGTACAGCAAGTACACACCCACAGCTTCAGCAGATGCATGTGCCCTTGAGCTTCCTCAGCAGCCTGTGGGTCAGCAGACTGCATGAAGTGGTGTGGACGCACACAGAACCTGCACCAGCAGCAGGAAGCCCCTGTAAACAGGGGAACCCACACACCCAGAAAAGAGGATGTGTTCTCGTAAGCTGCACTTCCCACCGCAGGAGTGAGAGCAGGGTCAGGAGCTTGTGCAAGTGTGCGTATGATCACATGTGGGGTCTGGAGTTCTGGGGGAGTAGCTGCAGGAAGCTGTTTAGAAACCCATAGCTGTTTATTAATGTGTCATTGATCCATTATATCACAGAATCACAGAATCAGAGAACTGTAGGGGTTGGAAGGGAACTCGAAAGATCATCGGGTCCAATCCCCCTGCCAAGGGAGGTTTCTCAGAGCAGGCTGCCCAGGTAGGCGTCCAGACAGGCCTTGAATATCTCCAGAGAAGGAGACTCCACAACCTCCCTAGGCAGCCTGTTCCAATGCTCCGTCACCCTCACCGTGAAGAGGACAAACAACAGAGTCCCAGGGGAGTGTCCCTGAAGCAAAGAGTGAAGCAAAGAAAGCATTCAGTATCTCTTCCTCCTCAGCATCCCCCGTGACCAGAACACTACCCTCATTCAGGAAGGGACCCACCTTATCCCTAGTCTTCCTCTTGCTGTTTACATACTTGAAAAAACCCTTCTTATTATCCTTTATCTCTTTCGCAAGCCTCATCTCTAGGTGGCTTTAGCCTTCCTCATTGCCCTGACAACACATCTATACTCCTCCCAAGAGGACAGGCCCTTTTTCCACATTTCATAGACCCTCCTCTTCCTTTTGATCTTATCGATGAGCTCCTTGCTTATCCATGCGTGTTTCTTGCCCCCCTTCCCCAATTTCCTATTCCTTGGGATGCACAGACCCTGAGCATGGAAGAAGTGCTGCTTAAATGTAGCCCAGCTCTCACAAGCACCCTTGCTTTCTAGCAACCTATCCCATGAGATACTCCCAAGCAGGTCCCGGAAGAGGTTGAAGTTGGCTCTTCAGAAGTCCAGGGTGGCAATCCTGCTTTTAGCCTTACTTCCTTTGCCTAGTCCTATCTGGAACTCCACCATCTCATGGTCGCTGCATCCCAAGCTGCCCCCAACCTTCACATCCCTAACAAGCCCATCCCTGTTGGTAAGAACGAGGTCCAGGAGCACCCCCGCCTCGTCGGCTCCTCCACCACCTGCGTCAGAAAATTGTCGTCAACGCATTGTAGGAACTGTTTGGACTGCTCGTGCCTGGCTGAGTTGCTTACCCAGCAGATGTCTGGGTAATTGAAGTCCCCCATGAGGACCAGCACTCGTGATCGTGAGGCTACTAGCAGCTGCTCGTAGAAGGCCTCATCGACTTCCTCCTCCTGATCTGGACACCTGTAGTAGACCTCTACCACCGTGCCTCCCATACCAAATATTCCTGATACTATTCCTGATAATATTATTCCTGATAATATTCCTGATACTGATCCCAAATATATGGATCGTGGGTTGCCAGTTAACTACGTGCCATTAATGTACTGCCTCAAGACCGATTAGATTTAAGCTGTGCAATATGAGCAGACTTTCCCTGTAACAGTTCTCTACCCTCTGCATTTTCCTTCCTGATCAGCCACCCTCAGCTCAACCACAGAGTCAGGCAATTTACAGAGCAAGAACAAACAGCACACATTCTCATTTTGGGGCATGAGTGGTACAATTCTTCTTTGTTACCAAGCTTTGTTCTAAAATTTCATTCTAGAATCTCTCACGGTGCTGTGACCCTTCTAGAGCAAGTACCTTCTAGTAGCTACTTCCTTCTAGGACAATACCAGCAAGCATGTTTATGGACCATATTTCCAATGCAACAGCACTGTTGGCATGGTCTGAGCCTTTTGTGCACATTTCTACACACAGTTTAGGTTTGTCCTCATTTACCACCAGCTGTGTGCCCTGCCCTTCTGAGCCTTTGATGCTCATGTTGTTAGCTCTCCCATGTCTTCCTGAGCACCTGCATGTCTGCCTCTTCACAGGGAGAAAGCTAACAGATGGGATGTGGAAGAGCAGTGTCTGCATGCCCACAGCACTCAGTTCAGAGCGCAGAGAGGCCCAGCAGGGCTTCTTTTTCCTTCGGGATATCCTTAGGGATGCTTACATCCTCCAGAGTTTTCAATCAAGTCACCCCGAGCAGTGCTACAAGCACCATGTGTGCCTCACGTAGTGGTGACAGAGTAAAGCTTTGCGATCTGTCACAGGCAGGGCAGCTGACATGATCTGGTGATCCCTTCTGATCTCCGGCTCCATATCGGCAAGTCATGTGCCCTAGTGAGTGTGTTTATTATTATTTAATTTGCTTTCCTAGCAAATACCAAAAGCACAGCCATTTTCACACACGTTCTCTCTCACCAGGGAAGGATAAAAACACCACTAATGTGTCTTGTGAAGCTGCTTGAAAATGTGCAGAAGGAGATGGTTTGAGGGCAGTGGTTTAGTTCTTCATCAGTTCGCCTTTGCCTCTGTGAGTTTCTTTTTTGCAACAAGCCTCTTGTGAAACGTCCTGACAAGGAAACGATGAAAATTTGTCATCTCCATGTGCTGTGGGGAATACCCCAGCTATGGCTCTGTCTGTACATCACATTCAGTTCCGTGCAGACTGCCCGGCACTGTGGGAGCTGCCCTAGCTTCTCCTCCTGCAGGAGGGCTGTACTTGTGGCCGTACCAAGAACGTGGACGGACTCTTGGTGGAGAAGAGCGATGGTGTGGCAGCGATAATGAACCAGCAAGAGAGAGTCAGTCCTGGGACTGCAGGTAACCATTAAGCCTTCCTTTCTGTCCTCCTCTAGGAGAAGGAGAAGGTGGGTGAAAATACGGGGCTGGGATATATGAAGGTCATGGTACCATGGCTGGCTGTGTACCAGGAGAAAGACCCAGTGCCCATTCTCAGGGTAGAAACCATCTCTTCAGGGTGTCTGCCGCCACAGACACCGAGCTGGACTGTCAGTCCTTTGAGTAAGTGACCACTCGCTGTTGTGTAAAACAGGCTGGGGGACAGAGCCCAACTAAGAATTGGGAAGCTGAGAGAAAGAAGCTCCAGAGAGAGGTGAGGGGGAGGGTTGGTGTTTTTACCGTGCTGGGCAGCTAAACACCACCGCTCTCTCACTCCCCCTCCTTTGATGAGGAGGGGAAGAAGTAAAGCAAAGAACAACTCACGGGTTGAGATAACGATAATTTTATTAAAGGGAAATAATAATAATAATAATAATAACAACAACAACAACAACAACAATAACAATAACAATAACAATAATAATAATAGAAAGATTATTATGAACAAAACAATTTAAATAAAAGAAAAAAAAGAAAAGGGGAAAAGGGAGGTGGAAAGGAAAAAAAGGGAGGAAAACAAACAAATAAAACTAATGAAGGCTATGTGGAAGTGCAGAGGAAAGAAATTGCTCTCTACTTCCCACAAATGAGCGATGCTTGACCACGTCCTTGAAGCAGGGCCTCAACGCACGTAACCAGTGCTTCGGAGGAGGACCGACATTTTCACAACGAGAGCCCAGCCCTCCCCTCTTCTTCCTGTTTCCACCTTTTATTGCTGAGTGTGACATCAGATGGTATGGAATATCCCTTTGGTTGGTTTAGGTCAGCTGCCCTGGTGATGTTTCTCTTCCCACTTTTTTGCCCACCCCTAGGAGGGTTAGAGAGAGGCCCGATGCTGTGCCAGCACTGCTCAGCAGCAGACACAACACTCATGTGATACCACTGCTGTTCCAGCTACAAGGGGAGAGCACAGCACTGTATGGGTTGCTGCAGGGAAAGTGAACATCCCAGCCAGACCCAGTACAGAGGGAGGTAGAGAAAGAGCATTCAGTGAAAGACGGGGTAAGGGAGGGCAACCAGGAAGGTGTGCAGGTCAGGAAAGAGGCGTGACGGGAGAAGGAAAGTAGTGCAGCTTGGGAAGATCGCAGCTATGGCTTTTGACATGAAGCAAGAGGGCAGTCCCCGTGTTGCCCTACGCTGCAGGTGTGACCCACAGCCAGTGACAGACAGCACGAGCTGGTTACAGCACCTGCGGGACCTGCCAGGCCTTGGGCCAGGGTTATCAGAAGGCTGTCAGGGCACGCAGCCCCTTGGATTATCCTGCCCCCCGACTCTGGGCCGGGGATTTCCACTCTTGCCTTGTGTTTTTCAGCCCCAGCAGAAGGGAGCAGCTGTTCCCGCCTGAGCCCCTGGGTCTTCCTCACTTCTGCCCTTGCCGTCAAAACTGCCCTCATGACCGTCGGCCTCGGTGGGTGCCAGGGTCCCTTTACTTCCCCGGGGAGGAAGGGAACGGGGCCTGAAGTTGCCTGGTGTCAGGTGGAAAAAGAAAACCCCAGCCTCTTTGCCAGCAGGCGACTGCCCTGCACCCAAACAGCCTGTTCTGCTGCCCCTTTCCCACGCTGCCTCTTAGCTGGGGAGCCGCGTCCCTTGCACAGTTAGCAGGTAGTGTCCTGGCAGGGCCTTCCCACAGCTCCTCTCACTTCTCAGCTGCCAAATCCAGCCAGTCCTGGGTGAAACCCATCAGTTCCTGCCCTCCCACTGCAACAGGGCCGAGAAGTCTCCGTAGTGCCAGACGACATCTGAGCAGGTTCCCCGAGGGCTGGCTGTTGGCTCTCAGTTCTCCTGGCCGCATTTGTGGTGTCCCTCAGAGCTCCTCGTGACCCTGTTGCAGCCGAGGAGCCAGCATGATCTCCCTGGACATCCTGCTACCAGGGCTGCCCACGGTTGAGCAGAGTGAGGCGTAAATCCTCCAAAATGCTCCAGCTGCATCCTACCCACACCGCCTGGAACAAACAGAAGGGAAATATGTTGTGTGTAGTGTCCTGGAGTATCGTTACTGCTCTGCGATAACTCTCCTGTGGTGTTCAGCTCCCTTGGGTGAAGCCTCAGCACTCAGCAGTTCTTCCCCTCCTTGGTATGTGTGAAAAGGGTGCTCTAAAGCTGCAGAACACAGGCAGATTAAGAGGGAATGCATATTGATATTCCACCTTTTTGGCCTTTTCCTGATCCCATCCTCGAAGGATGTCTTAGCTGAGCTTTGTCGGCTGGGAAAATGAGTCTCAGCCAGCTGAGGTGAGGGGGGCTCATCTGATCAGTGTTTGCCCAAGGGAGGGAGTGACCCGTAGTGGGGAAAGCTGTCTGCTCTTTTCCTTCAGGATACAACTTTCAGAGCTTGTTGGTGTAACCGAGTCTCTGAGGGAGCTCTCAGCCAGAAGGTGGAGGGCAGGACAACTTGCCCATGAGTGAGGATGAAAGGATGACAGTAACGCCTTCCTTCTCTTTCCCCTCTTCCCAGTTGTTCTCTTTCACAGGAGCTGTGGCCAGTACAAGACTCTGCCCCAGAATGCTCCAGGGTGGCACTGCATCCCCAGTGGATCTGCAAGCCAAAGTGAGTGATGCTAAGAGCCTTGGGAGTGACACTGAGCACGTCCCCCACATTTATTCTGGTGTAAGTCAGCCTTTGAGTTTGGGAAAGGCATTGCCAGCCAGAGCTGGATTGCCCTAGGGAAGGAAGATGGAGAGGTTAGGAAAGAAAATGCTGTGTTTTACAGTCTGATTTAGGATGCTCTGAAAACATGTCCTGGGCCAGTGGAAGAGGGTGGCTTGCTCCAGTTCTACCTTGTGATCACTCGTCCCATTCTCTGCTCACATACAGCCCCTCAGCTCCAGTCCAGTTCACAAATCTAGCCAAAAGCACTTCATCCTTTTGTAAGGGATGGCTCAACCCTCTTATCTCCATTGCCAGGGTTTCTGATTCTACAAATATAATGGAGAACTTTAAGTTGATCTAATATGGAAGAACACAGGTAAATTAACATTTTTTTCTGCTTCTTCCACTCCCTGGACTCTTCACTCTCTCCATTTGGTGCCAAGAAGGGAATCTGAGACAACTGCTTTGACCCTGATTAGATTTTAACTGTGTGAAATGAGCAGCTTTTCATTTCACAGAATCACAGAATTGCAGGGGTTGGGAGGGATGTGAAGAGAGCATTGGGTCCAACCCCCCTGCCAAAGCAGGTTCCCTAGAGCAGGTTGCCCAGGTAGGCATCCAGATGGGCCTTGAATATCTCCAGAGAAAGGGACTCTACAGCCTCATGCATGGAAGCTGGGAGCTTTTGAAGAGTGTGAGCCCTGAAGCCTGCATCTTCACTCTGCTGGGTGAGAATATGTGAGTGCAAGGGACATGGTGAAATATATACCTGTAGGTACTGGAAGAACTAAGCCACAGGCAGAAGCATTGCAGGCAGGCAGGTTCGTTGCTTTTCATGTGGTTCTTGCAGCACAAGAATTCTTTGCTTCTGGTTTTGGTTCCTCTGTGGTCTTGCTTTGGACCACAGCCTCCTGGGCCTCTCCTCCCTTCCCTGTTCCTTTCATTTTTCTGGCCCCATATCAGCAGCAGCTGGTTACAGCATTTGGCAGTCACACCTTGATTGCATAGATTAGCACAGGGAGCCCCTGCAGAGCTCCTGTGTGGGGAACCCAAGAAGACAGTCCCTGAGAGGTCTGAGATTCAGGGCAAGCATCTTCAGCTCTGCTCAGTGTACTGTATCAGTGTACTTTGTTGGTTGACTAGACTGGAAGGATTTCTTTGTTGGACATGTTCCATATTGAGCTATATTCTGTGTGTGATAGAAACAGCTTACAGATAGAGGTATATATAACCTGAAAAAAGATAACCTCATGCTTAAGAGAATGTGCCCATGCTTTTCAATCCATCCTGCAACTTTCTGTGTGTATGGCAAATTTCTAGGAAAACATGCACAGCTTGTGTAAGAAACTACCAGTGTTGGCAGTGAGGCTGCCAGACTAGTTTACTGTGTATGTTTGTTCCTGTGTATGAGATGAGAGCTAATCACTTGGACAATGCTTTTCTGATGTCAGTGTCCCCAGAGGAGTGCTGCCAGCTACTTCCCATCTTACTTCCTCAGGAATGGTAAGGCAGAAAGTGCCTCTCCCCAGTGAGAGCTTGAATGGGCACGATAGAACAAGGGAAAAAGCTCTTCAAGCAGGGGCCCTGTGATAGCAATCTGTCAGGCTGTAAATGGTGCTGTTTGTGGAGCACAAAAGAGAGCATTTACCGCTGTCCAAAAGAAATGTACAGTTCAAACCCCTTCCCTGATACTTGGGGTTCTGTGCTGAGCTCACTGAGAAGAGGCACAGCACATCTTGTCCAACACTGGTCTTTCTTCCCCTACAGAGGACAGCTGGAAGTGCTGTCCAGAGGGCTGGAGACCCTTTCAGGAAAGCTGCTATTACTTCTCGGGTGATCAGATGCCCTGGGATGAGAGCCAGCAGAACTGCAGTGGGATGGGCTCCCAGCTGGTGGTGATCAATACAGAAGCAGAGCAGGTAAGTGCAGGGCTGGGAGAGGGGCAGAGCAGCCTGGAGACAGGAGTGCCAGGCCTGGAGGGGCCTCAGAGCCCCTCCTGGCTCCTGCAGTGGAGGGGGGATGTCCTTGCTGCATGCACTCAGCACTGGCTCCAGTCTGCCACCAGCTCCACCCCACTGGGACTCCTGCCACCTCCCTCTCTTCAGTCCTGAACCTCATGGACGTTGTACTCTCCCTCATTTCCAGGCTTTCCTCTATAAGGAAATACAGATGAAATACCGACAAAATGGAATCAATTTATACATCGGTCTGCAGGCACAGGAGGCGGGCCAGTGGCGCTGGGCAGACCAGACTCCCTATAATGTAACAGCAGCGTGAGTATCACATGACGGAGAGGATTTGGTGTGGCTCCGGGTAGTGCAAGAGGGTGGAAGAGATGTGAGGGTGTCTGATGAGCATGGGAGGGATATGCCATGGCTGTCTGTGAGAGGACAATGATGGAGCCAGCAAGGGCTTTGTAGGATACCAGGTTCCCACCGATCCATCCATGCTGGTTAGTGGTTAGCGATAAGTTATCTGTGACATGGCCATGGGTGCTGTAGGCAGAGAAGAAGCTGCATTTTGTGAGGAGAAAGAGTCCTTCATACAGGACAAGCCTTGCCTGACCTCCGTACTGCCCCACCACACACATGTGCAGGTGTAGGCACATGGTCTATGTGCCTGTAGGTGTGCAGGTGTAGGCACATGCTGGGCCAGTGCTGTCATGCTGCAGAAGCGATGGGTTGCTGGGAGAGATCACCAGGGCTTGGCTTGCAGATGTTTCTTCTGGAAGAGACGCATCCCCTGCTGGCTGTGAAGTGCCTGGGGTGAGCTGTGGTGAGCAGCTCTGCCCACCAGGACTGAACAGCTCCCTGCTGTGTTGGTTCTAGGAAGAAGTCAGGTTTGCATGTAAGACTGCTGCCAGTGGGATTAGCAGAGTGCGAGGAAGGGTACGACTTCTGTCCATCAAACAGCATCTGGACTGTCTCCCCTCCAAGCCTTGTGTTGAACGTGTGGCCTTTTCCAGCAATGTGCTTGCAGGGTGCACAGGGAGTAACCTGTCTCTTTCTCTCTCAGGTTCTGGAGGTATGGGGAGCCAAGTGATAAACATGATGAGCCGTGCGTTCTAATCCATTACCAGAAAGATGTTTTCCGGAACTGGAATGATGTCCAATGCACAATCCACTCTTATCGGATCTGTGAAACTGCAGCAGTAACTCTATGATGGAGGAATCCTCATCCTGAGATTAGCAGCGAACTGGGAACAACAGAGGGCTGTGTTGGGAGGGGTAGGAGAGCCTTGGAGCCTTTATCTTCCTTCTGCTGTGTGGGATGATGAGACTGGGAGTGATGTTGCTCTGCACCCAGCATCCCCTGTGCATGTGTATTTCTCAAAGTACCCCTTAAGTGGAAACAATAAATGCTAGAGAACTCTGCCTGTGCTTTCTCAGGCTGACCATCCCATCCCATGGTTGGTGAAGACAGATTTGGCAATGGAAGCTCCAGGCAAGCATGGCAGGTGAAGGTCATGTCTGTACGGGAAATGGGCCAATGCCTTTCTTTCAATGTCATTGCCTCCATGGGATGGACACAGGAGGGTTCAGGGTCATCAAAGCAGTTCCTGGGCTCTTCTGTCAGTCATCCTCTTCTCTCTGTGTGGGTCTGGCAGCTGCTGGCTGAAAAGAGCTGGAGCTCTCCTGAAGGAAGAAGATGCAGGAATGCAAGAAGGATGCTCAGAGCTGCTGTTCTCTTTGTCTGCTTGAGAAGAGGTGTCTGCTTCTTGCTGGGTCATAGAGAGTCCTGTTCAGCATTGGCTTTGCTGAACAAATACTGATTTCCTGTGAAGCAGAAAATACAATATTACACCGATAAAAAAGGCTCTGGGCTCACTTGCCCTCTCTCTCTTTCCCTTTCCCTCTCTAAGCTGAGATATTTGCACATGCACGTGCTTCAAATCAAGCCTGTTGCTGTGCCAGCAAAGAGCCAGAGATGACTACTGCAGTAGAAGTTGCATACACCCAGTGAGTCTTAACGTTTCAGAGATAACCTGTGTGTAACGGTCCTGTCGCACACAGCCAGGGCTCTGGGAGGGACCGGGCACAGGAAACCAGCTGTGGGGTTTTCATATGTTGCCATGCTGAAGGTCTTACCTGAGAGAGAAACAGGAGCGTGTGCCAGGAGTCTAGCCTGCACATGGTTGACCAGGTATGAGGACGTGGCCCCAGCAGCAAAATTAGTAGGTCCTTTGGTCACCCCTCCCACCTCAGAGCTAATCCTGGATTCAACAGATGCAGCGGGTGTCCTGGGAGGCTGACACCTCAGTGGGCCCTGTGAGGGCACACCTGCCCAGGCTGGACGATGCTGGAGAAGAGGCAGGGAGAGGCAGGGCGGTTGCTGCCCGTGAGGGCCCCTCCAGAAGTGCAATGCATATTGCCTCCACTTCCACCCAAGTCTTGAGAGTTGGCTTCCTAAACCCATCCATGGGAGTCGTTGTGTGGGTGGTGGCAGAAGCTGCCGAATGCCGTAGCCCAGCAGACACAAGGCAGCTGCATTGCCATGTCCTTAGGTCCAGGCTGTAGCGAGGCTGAGTGTGTACACCGAACAGGCACAGCTGCACACATTCACACAGCGTGTACGTATACAGGTACAAGTATGCATAGCATGCAGACAGACAGATGAGCACTGCTGAAAAGCACTTGCACAAACAGCACCAGCAGCCTCACCCTACTGCCCTCTCTGGCTGCTCAGGGTGAAAGCTTGTTAGCAGAAAATATACGCTTACATATATGCAGTATGGATCCCTCCAGGAGGGATCATTGAGTATCCGGTAGCTGGACCCTAGATTGCAAGGCCATGCAAGACAACTGTCGCTGCAGTATTTCCTTCTCTCCACATCCCACGGATCTTGTTGTATCCGTGCTCTTCTTGTTGGCTCTTGTCTCTACTGTGAGGGTCTGGGAAAGTAGACTCAAGATTCTCCGGGGCCTCCAACTAGCATTTCCTAGCAATGAACTTGGTAAAACCAAGTACCACTGTCTTCAGTGGTTCAGGGACAGGCACAAGAGACCCTGGCAACTCTGCCAGGTTGGAGCATCTATAAGCAGAGTTGGATGCCATGGGCAGGCATTCAGCTGTCATTCCTGGCAGTAAGCGGTACAGCAAGTACACACCCACAGCTTCAGCAGATGCATGTGCCCTTGAGCTTCCTCAGCAGCCTGTGGGTCAGCAGACTGCATGAAGTGGTGTGGACACAGACCACCAGCAGCAGGAAGCCCCTGTAAACAGGGGAACCCACACGCCCAGAAAAGAGGATGTGTTCTCGTAAGCTGCACTTCCCACCGCAGGAGTGAGAGCAGGGTCAGGAGCTTGTGCAAGTGTGTGTATGATCACATGTGGGGTCTGGAGTTCTGGGGGAGTAGTTGCAGGAAGCTGTTTAGAAACCCATAGCTGTTTATTAATGTGTCATGGATCCATTATATTCCTAATACTGATCCCGAATATAGGGATCATGGGTTGCCAGTTAACTACGTGTCATTAATGTACTGCTTCAAGACTGATTAGATTTAAGCTGTGCAATATGAGCAGACTTTCCCTGTAACAGTTCCCTACCCTCTGCATTTTCCTTCCTGATCAGCCACCCTCAGCACACGTCCCAAATGCACAAAGTCAGGCATATTATAGAGCAAGAACAAACAGCACACATTCTCATTTTGGGGCATGAGTGGTACAATTCTTCTTTGTTACCAAGCTTTGTTCTAAAATTTCATTCTAGAATCTCTCACGGTGCTGTGAACCCAGTAGCAAGTACCTTCTAGTAGTTAATTCCTTCTAGGACAATACCAGCAAGCATGTTTATGGACCATATTTCCAATGCAACAGCACTGTTGGCATGGTCTGAGCCTTTTGTGCACATTTCTACACACAGTTTAGGTTTGTCCTCATTTACCACCAGCTGTGTGCCCTGCCCTTCTGAGCCTTTGATGCTCATGTTGTTAGCTATCCCATGTCTTCCTGAGCACATACTTGCCTGCCTCTTCACAGGGAGAAAGCTAACTGATGGGGTGTGGAAGAGCAGTGTCTGCATGCCCACAGCACTTAGTTCAGAGCGCAGAGAGGCCCAGCAGGGCTTCTTTTTCCTTCGGGATATCCTTAGGGATGCTTACATCCTCCAGAGTTTTCAATCAAGTCACCCCGAGCAGTGCTACAAGCACCATGTGTGCCTCACGTAGTGGTGACAGAGTAAAGCTTTGCGATCTGTCACAGGCAGGGCAGCTGACATGATCTGGTGATCCCTTCAGATCTCCGGCTACGTTTCGGCAAGTCATGTGCAACCCCTCCTCTCTGCTCCAAGCACCATCCTTGTTTCCTCAGCAATTAGTCAGAAACCATGTTGGCAAGTTCCTGAGCTCTGGGTTACTGGGCTTGGGCCTCGCATGGGGACTTGCCCAGGCTGAGCCACACATGGGCCTTCCTGTGGTGTTCTGGCTGCTTTTGTAGGCCCTTGTGAGTGTGTTTATTATCCCTTTGCTAGCAAATACCAACAGCACAAGCATTTTCACACATGTACTCTCTCACCAGGGAAGGATAAACACCACTAATCTATCTTGTGAAGCTGCTTGAAAATGTGCAGAAGAAGACGGTCTGAGCAGCAGTGGTTCTGGTTTTTGTCTGTTTTCCTTTGCCTCTGTGAGTTTCTGGGTTGCAACAAGCCTCTTGTGAAACGTCCTGACAGAGAAATGTTGAAAATTCCCCCATCTCCATGTGCTGTGAGAAATACCCCAGCTATGGCTCTGTCTGCACATCAGATTCGAGTCCGTGCAGACTGCCCGGCACTGACGGAGCTGCCCTAGCTCCTCCTCCTGCAGGAGGGCTGTGCTTGTGGCCGTACTGGTAACGTGGACGGACTCTTGGTGAAGAGCGATGCTGTGGCAGCGATAATGAACCAGCAAGAGAGAGTCAGTCCTGGGACTGCAGGTAACCATTAAGCCTTCCTTTCTGTCCTCCTCTAGGAGAAGGAGAAGGTGGGGGAAAATACGGGGCTGGGATATATAAAGGGCATGGTACCGTGGCTGGCTGTGTACCAGCAGAAAGACCCAGTGCCCATTCTCGGGGTAGAAACCATCTCTTCTGCGTGTCTGCTGCCAGACACCGAGCTGGACTGTGAGTCCTTTGAGTAAGTGACCACTCGCTGTTGTGTAAAAGAGGCTGGGGGACAGAGCCCAACTAAGAGTTGGGTAGCTGAGAGAAAGATGCTCCAAAGAGAGGTGAGGAGGAGGGAGGTAGAGAAATAGCATTCAGTAAAAGACAGGGGTAAGGGAGGGCAACCAGGAAGGTTTGCAGGGGAGAAAAGAGGCGTGACAGAAGAAGAAAAGTAGTGCAGCTTGGGAAGAGCGCAGGCATGGCTTGTGACATGAAGCAAGAGGGCAGTCCCCGTGTTGCCCTACGCTGCAGGTGTGACCCACTGCCAGTGACAGACAGCACGAGCTGGTTCCAGCGCCTGTGGGACCTGCCAGGCCTTGGGACAGGGTTATCAGAAGGCTGTCAGGGCACGCAGCCCCTTGGATTATCCTGCCCCCCGACTCTGGGCCGGGGATTTCCACTCTTGCCTTGTGTTTTTCAGCCCCAGCAGAAGGGAGCAGCTGTTCCCGCCTGAGCCCCTGGGTCTTGCTCGTTTCTGCCCTTGCCGTCAAAACTGCCCTCATGACCGTCGGCCTCGGTGGGTGCCAGGGTCCCTTTACTTCTGCGGGGAGGAAGGGAACGGGGCCTGAAGTTGCCTGGTGTCAGGTGGAAAAAGAAAACCCCAGCCTCTTTGCCAGCAGGCGACTGCCCTGCACCCAAACAGCCTGTTCTGCTGCCCCTTTCCCACGCTGCCTCTTAGCTGGGGAGCCGCGTCCCTTGCACAGTTAGCAGGTAGTGTCCTGGCAGGGCCTTCCCACAGCTCCTCTCACTTCTCAGCTGCCAAATCCAGCCAGTCCTGGGTGAAACCCATCAGTTCCTGCCCTCCCACTGCAACAGGGCCGAGAAGTCTCCGTAGTGCCAGACGACATCTGAGCAGGTTCCCCGAGGGCTGGCTGTTGGCTCTCAGTTCTCCTGGCCGCATTTGTGGTGTCCCTCAGAGCTCCTCGTGACCCTGTTGCAGCCGAGGAGCCAGCATGATCTCCCTGGACATCCTGCTACCAGGGCTGCCCACGGTTGAGCAGAGTGAGGCATAAATCCTCCAAAATGCTCCAGCTGCATCCCACCAACACCGCCTGGAACAAACAGAAGGGAAATGTTGCGTGTAGTGTCCTGGAGTATCGTTACTGCTCTGTGATAACTCTCCTGTGGTGTTCAGCTCCCTTGGGTGAGGCCTCAGCACTCAGCAGTTCTTCCCCTTCTTGGTATGCGTGCAAAGGGTGCTCTAAAGCTGCAGAACACAGGCAGATTAAGAGGGAATGCAGATTGATATTCCACCTTTACTAGGATGATCTCACAACTTCTTTGACCTTTTCCTGACCCCATCCTCTAAGGGTGTCTTAGCTGGGCTTTGTCAGCTGGGAAAATGAGTCTCAGCCAGCTGAGGTGAGGGGGGCTCATCTGATCAGTGTTTGCCCAAGGGAGGGAGTGACCCGTAGTGGGGAAAGCTGTCTGCTCTTTTCCTTCAGGATACAATTTTCAGAGCTTGTTGGTGTAACCGAGTCTCTGAGGGAGCTCTCAGCCAGAAGGTGGAGGGCAGGACAACTTGCCCATGAGTGAGGATGAAAGGATGACAGTAGCGCCTTCCTTCACTTTCCCCTCTTCCCAGTTGTTCTCTTTCACAGGAGCTGTGGCCAGTACAAGACTCTGCCCCAGAATGCTCCAGGGTGGCACTGCATCCCCAGTGGATCTGCAAGCCAAAGTGAGTGATGCTAAGAGCCTTGGGAGTAACACTGAGCACGTCCCCCACATTTATTCTGGTGTAAGTCAGCCTTTGAGTTTGGGAACGGGATTGTCAGCCAGAGCTGGATTGCCCCAGGGAAGGAAGATGGAGAGATGAGGAAAGAAAATGCTGTGTTTTCAAGTCTGACTTAGGATGCTCTGAAAACATGTCCTGGGCCAGTGGAAGAGGGTGGCTTGCTCCAGTTCTACCTTGTGATCACTCGTCCCATTCTCTGCCCACATATAGCCCCTCAGCTCCAGTCCAGTTCACAAATCTAGCCAAAAGCACTTCATCCTTTTGTAAGGGATGGCTCAGATCTGTGCTCTCCAGTGCCATGGTTTCTGTTTCTACAAATGTAATGGTAAACATTGATCTAATACAGAAGAACACAGGTAAATTAACATTTTTTTTTCTGCTTCTTCCACTCCCTGGACTCTTCAATTTCTCGATTTCGTGCCAAGAAGGGAATCTGAGACAACTGCTTTGACCCTGATTAGATTTAAACTGTGTGATATGAGCAGCTTTTCATTTCACAGAATCACAGAATTGTAGGGGTTGGGAGGGACGTGAAGAGAGCATTGGGTCCAACCCCCCTGCCAAAGCAGGTTCCCTAGAGCAGGTTGCCCAGGTAGGCATCCAGGTGGGCCTTGAATATCTCCAGAGAAAGGGACTCTACAGCCTCATGAATGGAAGCTGGGACCTTTTGAAGAGTGTGAGCCCTGAAGCCTGCATCTTTACTCTGCTGGGTGAGAATATGTGAGTGCAAGGGACATGGTGAAATATATACCTGTAGGTACTGGAAGAACTAAGCCACAGGCAGAAGCATTGCAGGCAGGCAGGTTCGTTGCTTTTCATGTGGTTCTTGCAGCACAAGAATTCTTTGCTTCTGGTTTTGGTTCCTCTGTGGTCTTGCTTTGGACCACAGCCTCCTGGGCCTCTCCTCCCTTCCCTGTTCCTTTCATTTTTCTGGCCCCATATCAGCAGCAGCTGGTTACAGCATTTGGCAGTCGCACCTTGATTGCATAGATTAGCACAGGGAGCCCCTGGAGAGCTCCTGTGTGGGGAACCCAAGAAGAAAGTCCCTGTGAGGTCTGAGATTCAGCTCTGCTCAGTGTACCAGAGTGTCTTTGTTGGTTGACTAGACTGGAAGGACTTGTTTGTTGGACATGTTCCATATTGAGCTATATTCTGTGTGTGATAGAAACAGCTTACAGATAGAGGTATATAACCTGAAAAAAAGATAACCTCGTCCTTTAGAGAATGTGCCCATGCTTTTCAATCCATCATGTGACTTTCTACGTGCATGGCAAATTTCTAGGAAAACATGCACGGCTTGTGTAAGAAACTACCAGTGTTGGCAGTGAGGCTGCCAGACTAGTTTACTGTGTATGTTTGTTCCTGTGTATGAGATGAGAGCTAATCACTTGGACAATGCTTTTCTGATGTCTGTGTCCCCAGAGGAGTGCTCAGCTCCTTCCCATCTCACTTCCTCAGGAACGGTGAGGCAGAAAGTGCCTCTCCCCAAGCAGAGCTTGAATGGGCAGATAGAACAAAGGAAAAAGCTCTTCAAGCAGGGGCCCTGTGACAGCAATCTGTCAGGGTGTCAATGGTGCTGTTTGTGGAGCACAAAAGAGAGCATTTACCGCTGTCCAAAAGAAATGTACAGTTCAAACCCCTTCTCTGATACTTGGGGTTCTGTGCTGAGCTCACTGAGAAGAGGCACAGCACATCTTGTCCAACACAGGTCTTTCTTCCCCTACAGAGGACAGCTGAAAGTGCTGTCCAGTGGGCTCGAGACCCTTTAAAGAAAGCTGCTATTACTTCTCAGATGATTGGATGCCCTGGGATAAGAGCCAGCAGAACTGCAGTGGGATGGGCTCCCAGCTGGATGGGCTTACCAATCTCTGCAATCTGTCCTCCACTGCAACGCTGAGTATCCCCAGCAACCAAAAAGGAATATGTGGGTTAAAGCCAGCTCAGGCTCATTGCTCTCCTCAGAGTTGTTTTTGTTGTTCAGTTTCCTATGCTGTTTTGGGCTGAAAGCATACATACCTTCATCCCATGCCAGTCTGGCTAATTTAGGAGATTATTGCCATCGTTTTGATCTTCTGAGGGATGTACAGTTACACAGCTGGTCAATTCACTCAGCTGATATAACTGGTTGATTCACTCAGCTAACTAGGGCAAAGCCCACTCCTTGGTCCCATTTGTGCTGAGATAAGGTCCCCTTTCATTGCAACAGCTGTAGTCAGTCACTGCACACATTCTTCCCCGAGCTTTGTAATTGCCCCTGCCCAGCTCTTCTGAGCCTTTGTCCATTATAGGAGATCACTGATCACTCACAGGGGTCACTGTGATTACTCTTCCCTCCTCATTAGTATTGCTATTTCTAAATGACACAGCTGATGAAAATAGACGTCTCTATTGTCAATGTTATCTATATTATCAATATCCCTGAGTGTCTGAGTTGGTGACCACTCCACAGTCCTTTGGGCTGTGAACATGGCCTGCTGACACCAGCCACCACCACTGTATGAGCCAAATAGCAAGTCCCAAGTATTCCAGCCTGTTTTCAGTAGTGAGAGGCGTATGCTGTTACCTTCACCTGGACTGTCTTTGCTGCTGCTAAAACAGGCCCATCTAATGTGTTTCTCATCCAAACTATTGCTGATGTCTATGGCTAGCTTAGGAAGAGAGAAACTGTGTTGCTGAAGTGCTTCTTTTAATCCACTGAGTGTAAAGGGATTTAGATGGGTATCTCCATGGTCAATACCTGTGGTCAGGTGGAATCAGCCCCACCCTGTGGCATGTTCTCTGTGTTATCCCCTCCCAGGGGTCCCTCTGCTCTCTGACATGGAAGGTTGTCACTTGCTGTGAAGGCAGCCATACTGCTTTGGGCCTGTTTTCTAAGAGCCATGGAGCAACTAACCCCACACCTTCAGCTCCATGGCATCCAAGGAAGCCTGAGGGCATCTGCTCAGTGCTGGGACAGACTCCAATAACAAACCATTGGCTTGCCACAGCCACCTGGGACTGCTCAGGTGGGTCCCAGGCTTCCCTAGCTTTGTTGACTAGGTCATCCTGGCTAGAAATTGTCAGTCACTGAGTGGAGGACCCTTGCAGGCAGCTGTGGGTGGCTGGGAGCAGAAATGCTTGTTCCTCTTCCCTGACAGAATGTCAGTTACCTCTTGAGAACCTGAAAGGGAGAGCCAGAGGAGCAGTGATGCTGAGTCAGTGCTTGGTGGGGAAATGCATAAAAAAGTGAAGCACAAAACAGTGTGGGAGAAGCACGGAGAAAGTGGTAACCCTGCCTTCTTTTCTCTCCCTTTCCAGTCACTCACGTCTCCCAGAGCTGTGACAAGCCCGCAGCCCTGCAGGGGAACCATACAGAGTGGCACTGCATCTTGGCGGTGCCTCAAAGCAAAGGTCAGTCGTGCTGGCAAGGATGCAGGAGGTCTTCATTATGAGGATGGTGATTGCTGGGGTCTGCTCTCACAGCAAGCAGCAACAGGAGCAGGCTCCAGAGGAGAGATGTGGGAGAGAGAGAAAAAGGATTTCCTGCTAGCAGCTTAGGGGGAGGATAGGTCCATGTTAAGAGTGTCCTGGGAGGGCAGGGTGGGTGTGAACACACTGACAAGGACAAAATGCATAGTATCATACAGTGGTGGAGGGAAGATTAATAATGGAGCAATAATAAAAGTGCAACTCTCTTCAGAAAAACAAGTAATATTCCCTGCTGCTGCACCTACAATCCTATGGGAGACTGTACAAGGAGGAGTCAAAACAGATCACCAGAATGGCTTTGTCTTTGTCAAGGCAAGACCCGAGAGCACGGTACAAGGATTACCATGGACTTGTGTACACAGAGCTCTCTTCTGATCATACCTCAGAACAATTTGAAGAAATACCTGCATTATACTTGTGGGTGTTTTTTCTTCCAAAAATTTATGGAAGGAAGGAAGAGAGAGAGAGAAAGAGAGAGAGAAAGAGAGAGAGAGAGAGAAAAAAGAGAAAGGGAAGGAAGGAAGGAAGGAAGGAAGGAAGGAAGGAAGGAAGGAAGGAAGGAAGGAAGGAAGGAAGGAAGGAAGGAAGGAAGGAAGGAAGGAAGGAAGGAAGGAGGGAAGGAAGGAAGGAGGGAAGGAAGAAAAAGAAAGCTCTGCTCAGTGTACCAGAGTGTCTTTGTTGGTTGACTAGACTGGAAGGACTTGTTTGTTGGACATGTTCCATATTGAGCTATATTCTGTGTGTGATAGAAACAGCTTACAGATAGAGGTATATATAACCTGAAAAAAGATAACCTCGTCCTTTAGAGAATGTGCCCATGCTTTTCAATCCATCATGAGACTTTCTGCGTGCATGGCAAATTTCTAGGAAAACATGCACGGCTTGTGTAAGAAACTACCAGTGTTGGCAGTGAGGCTGCCAGACTAGTTTACTGTGTATGTTTGTTCCTGTGTATGAGATGAGAGCTAATCACTTGGACAATGCTTTTCTGATGTCAGTGTCCCCAGAGGAGTGCTGCCAGCTACTTCCTATCTGACTTCCTCAGGAACAGTGAGGCAGAAAGTGCCTCTCCCCAGTGAGAGCTTGAATGGGCACGATAGAACAAGGGAAAAAGCTCTTCAAGCAGGGGCCCTGTGACAGCAATCTGTCAGGGTGTCAATGGTGCTGTTTGTGGAGCACAAAAGAGAGCATTTACCACTGTCCAAAAGAAATGTGCAGTTCAAACCCCTTCCCTGATACTTGGGGTTCTGTGCTGAGCTCACTGAGAAGAGGCACAGCACATCTTGTCCAACACTGGTCTTTCTTCCCCTACAGAGGACAGCTGGAAGTGCTGTCCAGAGGGCTGGAGACCCTTTCAGGAAAGCTGCTATTACTTCTCGGGTGATCAGATGCCCTGGGATGAGAGCCAGCAGAACTGCAGTGGGATGGGCTCCCAGCTGGTGGTGATCAATACAGAAGCAGAGCAGGTAAGTGCAGGGCTGGGAGAGGGGCAGAGCAGCCTGGAGACAGGAGTGCCAGGCCTGGAGGGGCCTCAGAGCCCCTCCTGGCTCCTGCAGTGGAGGGGGGATGTCCTTGCTGCATGCACTCAGCACTGGCTCCAGTCTGACACCAGCTCCACCCCACTGGGACTCCTGCCACCTCCCTCTGTTCAGTCCTGAACCTCATGGACGTTGTACTCTCCCTCATTTCCAGGATTTCCTCTATAAGGAAATAAGAAGACAGATGAAATACCAACAAAAGGGAAACGATTTCTACATTGGTCTGCGGGCACAGGAGGTGGGCCAGTGGCGCTGGGCAGACCAGACTCCCTATAATGTAACAGCAGCGTGAGTATCCCATGACGGAGAGTGTTTGGTGTGGCTCCGGGTAGAGCAAGAGGGTGGAAGAGATGTGAGGGTGTCTGATGAGCATGGGAGGGATATGCCATGGCTGTCTGTGAGAGGACAATGATGGAGCCGGCAAGGGCTTTGTAGGATACCAGGTTCCCACCGATCCATCCATGCTGGTTAGTGGTTAGCGATAAGTTATCTGTGACATGGCCATGGGTGCTGTAGGCAGAGAAGAAGCTGCATTTTGTGAGGAGAAAGAGTCCTTCATACAGGACAAGCCTTGCCTGACCTCCGTACTGCCCCACCACACACATGTGCAGGTGTAGGCACATGGTCTATGTGCCTGTAGGTGTGCAGGTGTAGGCACATGCTGGGCCAGTGCTGTCATGCTGCAGAAGCGATGGGTTGCTGGGAGAGATCACCAGGGCTTGGCTTGCAGATGTTTCTTCTGGAAGAGATGCGTCCCGTGCTGGCTGTGAAGTGCCTGGGGTGAGCTGTGGTGAGCAGCTCTGCCCACCAGGACTGAACAGCTCCCTGCTGTGTTGGTTCTAGGAAGAAGTCAGGTTTGCATGTAAGACTGCTGCCAGTGGGATTAGCAGAGTGAGAGGAAGGGTATGACTTCTGTCTATCAAACTGTATCTGGAGTGTCTCCCCTCCAAGCCTTGTGTTCCACGTGTGGCCTTTTCCAGCAATGTGCTTGCAGGTGCACAGGGGAGTAACATGTCTGTCTCTCTCTCAGGTTCTGGAGGCGTGGGGAGCCAAGTGATGACCCTAATGAGCCGTGCGTTGTAATCCATCACAAAACAGAAAATCTCCAGAACTGGAATGATGTCCCGTGCAGAATACGTTTTAATCGGATTTGTGAGACTGCACCAATAACTCTATGATGGAGGAATCCTCATCCTGAGATTAGCAGTGAACTTGGAACAGCAGAGGGCTGTGTTGGGAGGGGTAGGAGAGCCTTGCAGCCTTTATCTTGCCTCTGCTGGGTGGGATGATGAGACTGGGAGTGATGTTGCTCTGCACGCAGCATCCCCTGTGCATGTCTATTTCTCAAAGTACCCCTGATGTGGAAACAATAAATGCTAGAAGAACTCTGCCTGTGCTTTCTCAGGCTGACCATCCCATCCCACAGTCGGTGGTGACAGATTTGGCAATGGAAGCTCCATGCAAGCATGGCAGGTGAAGGTCATGTCTCTACGGGAAATGTGCCAGTACCTTTCTTTCGATGCCATTGCCTCCCCGGGGCTGACACACGAGAGTTCGGGGTCATCAAAGCAGTTCCTGGGCTCCTCTGTCAGTCATCCTCTTCTCCCTGTGTGGGTCTGGCAGCTGCTGGCTGAAAAGAGCTGGAGCTCTCCTGAAGGAAGAAGATGCAGGAATGCAAGAAGGATGCTCAGAGCTGCTGTTCCCTTTGTCTCCTTTAGAAGAGGTATCTGCTTCTTGCTGGGTCATAGAGGGTCCTGTTCAGCATTGGTTTTGCTGAACAAATACTGATTTCCTGTACAGCAGAAAACACAATATTACACCGATGAAAAAGGCTCTGGGCTCACTCCCCCTCTCTCTCTTTCCCTTTCCCTCTCTAAGCTGAGGTAGTTTGCACATGCACGTGCTTCATACCAAGCCTGTTGCTGTGCCAGCAAAGAGCCAGAGATGACTACTGCAGTAGAAGTTGCATACACCCAGTGAGTCTTAACGCTTCAGAGATAACCTGTGTGTAACGGTCCTGTCGCACACAGCCAGGGCTCTGGGAGGGACCGGGCACAGGAAACCAGCTGTGGGGTTTTCATATGTTGCCATGCTGAAAGTCTTACCTGAGAGAGAAACAGGAGCGTGTGCCAGGAGTCTAGCCTGCACATGGTTGACCAGGTATGAGGACATGGCCCCAGCAGCAAAAGTATTAGGTCCTTTGGTCTCCTTTCCCACCTCAGAGCTAATCCTGGACTCAACAGATGCAGCGGGCCTCCTGGACACCTCAGTGGGCCCTGTCAGGGCACACCTGCCCAGGCTGGACGATGCTGGAGAAGAGGCAGGGAGAGGCAGGGCAGTTGCTGCCCGTGAGGGCCCCTCCAGAAGTGCAATGCATATTGCCTTCACTTCCACCCGAGTCTTGCTGCAGACCGTGTGCCCCTGTGGCTCCCATCCTTCTCCACCCCTTTCTCTTTCCTGGTCCCTATGCCCCCACCTCTGTTTGCCTCGGGAAGCATCACCTGCCTCGGTGCTCCCAAACAACCCGTGCCAGTTCCCCGTGCAGCGCCGATGTGCATCTCCTGGCTGTGTTGTTCTGTCCTACCTATAACGTGAGCCATCCCTCTGTGTCCCAGGGCAGGGGAGAATTTGTACTGGAGAAAAGGTGGCTGACCAGGAGAGTTGGCTTCCTAAACGCATCCATGGGAGTCGTTGTGTGGGTGGTGGCAGAAGCTGCCGAATGCCATAGCCCAGCAGATGCAAGGCAGCTGCATTGCCATGTCCTTAGGTCCAGGCTGTAGCGAGGCTGAGTGTGTACACCAAACAGGCAAAGCTGCACACATTCACACAGCGTTTATGTATACAGGTACAAGTATGCATAGCATGCAGACAGACCGATGAGCACTGCTGAAAAGCACTTGCACAATCAGCACCAGCAGCCTCACCCTACTGCCCTCTCTGGCTGCTTTGAGTGAACGCTTGTTAGCTGAAAATATACGCTTGCATATATGCAGCATGGATCCCTCCAGGAGCTAGGCTTAGTCATTGAGTATCCAGTAGCTGCACCCTAGATTGCAAGGTCATGCAAGACCCCTGTTGCTGCAGTATTTTCTTCTCTCCACATCCCACTGATCTTGTTGTATCCGTGCTGTTCTTGTTGGCTCTTGTCTGTACTGCAAGGGTCTGGGAAAGTAGACTCAAGATTCTCCGGGGCCTCCAACTAGCATTTCCTAGCAATGACCTTGGTAAAACCAAGTTCCACTGTCTTCAGTGGTTCAGGGAGAGGCACGAGAGACCCTGGCAAATCTGCCAGGTTGGAGCATCTATAAGCAGAGTTGGATGCCATGGGCAGGCTTTCAGCTGTCATTCCTGACAGTAAGGGGCACAGCAAGTACACACCCAGAGCTTCAGCAGATGCATGTGCCCTTGAGCTTCCTCAGCAGCCTGTGGGCCAGCAGACTGCATGAAGTGGTGTGGACACAGACCACCAGCAGCAGGAAGCCCCTGTAAACAGGGGAAGCCACACGCCCCTAAAAGAGGATGTGTTCTTGTAAGCTGCAATTCCCACCGCGGGAGTGATAAAGCGGTCAGGAGCTTGTGCAAGTGTGCATATGATCACATGTGGGGTCTGGAGTTCTGGGGGGGTAGCTGCAGGAAGCTGTTTAGAAACCCATAGCTGTTTATTAATGTGTCATGGATCCATTATATCACAGAATCAGAGAACTGTAGGGGTTTTAAGGGAACTTGAAAGATCATCGGGTCCAACCCCCCTGCCAAAGCAGGTTTCTTAGAGCAGGCTGCCCAGGTAGGCATCTAGACAGGCCTTGAATATCTCCAGAGAAGGAGACTCCACAACCTCCCTTAGGCAGCCTGTTCCAATGCTCTGTCACCCTCAACATGAAGAAGTTCTTTCATATGTCAATGCGGAACTTCCTGTGCTCTAACTTGCAGCCATTGCCCCTTGTCCTATCCCCACAAACCACTGAGAAGAGGTTGGCTACATCCTTCCATCCCCCACACCTCAGATATTTATATACACTGAGGAGATCCCCTCTCAGTCTTTTCTTCTCCAGGCTGAACAGGTCTCTCAGCCTTTCTTCATAAGGAACATGCTCCAGGCCCCATATCGTCATTGTGGCCCTCTGCTGGACTCTTTCCAGGAGATCCTTGTCTTTTTTTGTACTGGGGAGCCCAGAACTGGACGCAGTACTCCAGGTGAGGCCTGACCAGGGCAGAGTAGAGGGGGAGGATCACCTCCCTTGACCTGCTGGCCACGCTCCTTTTAATGCACGCCAGGATCCCATTGGCCCTCTTGGCCACCAGGGCACAGTGCTGGCTCATGGTCAACCTGTCGTCCACCAGGACCCCCAGGTCCTTCTCCTCAGAGCTCCTCTCCAGCAGGTCGTCCCCCAGCCTGTACTGATACATGCGGTTGTTCCTTCCCAGGTGCAGGACTCTACACTTGCTCTTGTTAAACTTCATTTGGTTTCTTCTTGCCCATCTCTCCTGCTGGTCCAGTCTCGCTGAATGGCAGCACAGCCTTCTGGCATGTCAGCCACTCCTCCCAGCTTTGTGTCATCAGCGTACTTGCAGAGGGCAGACACTATTCCCTCATCAAGGTCGTCAATGAAGATTTGAACGAGACCAGACCCAGCACTGACCCCTGGGGAACACCGCTAGTCACAGGCCTCCAGCCAGACTCTGTGCTACCAATCACCACCCTCTGAACTTGGCCAGTCAGCCAGTTCTCAACCCACCTTGCCGTCCACTCATCTGTCCCACAATTTCTCAGCTTTGCTAGTAGGATGTCATGGGAGACAGTATCGAAAGTCTTGCTAAAGTCACGTTGGATGACATCCACCACTCTACCCCCATCTACCCAGCTGGTGATGCCATCATAGAAGGCAACGAGGTTGGTCGAGCACGACTTCCCCTTGGTGAATCCATGC